CAATAAGCAACAGCCATGAATAATTAGCCCTTCTTGATTACGCAGAGTACCACATGCCAGATGTGTGTGTTAATCTGGGCCAATAACCAATAAATAGAAGTTCTCCTCTCGGCCGCAGGAGGCGACATCTCCCAGTTTAGGCAGAAGTTCTGGTGGAACGGAAACTCTGACGTGTCGGATCGACGCCATTTTCCTGAGGAAGGAAACGCCTTTAACAAGGAAGGAAACGTCAACCGTGTAAGTGTGTTAGAAGCACCTTTATGAAGTCAATTTCTTTGCTGAACGCAGTCGTATTACAAGCTTTTTTTCGAGAAAAATCACCGTTGTGAGCGCGGTTACGATTTGTATTGGTTGAAAAGAGAAACTGACTGGCTGCCGAGGGCTAACTTTACCCGAGTATGCTAGCTAGCTAGCTAGCTAACGATGTCTCAATATCTGATTTCCGCCTGTTATCAAATTATTCTTTTGCGCGTGTTGTCCGTATAACTTCTGCATTCAGTTTGCATGGCATAATCAACTTAGTATATTTCCAGGTTGGTATGTATTTTTCAAGACATGTCGAAAATGTAAACTGGTCTGACGAGTTTTAGCCTCCTAGCTTTAGCGAGCTAACGTTATTTGTTTACGTAACGCTAGCTTGGTTAGTCGGGCTGTTTTCCGCATTCCACCGAGGAACGTTAACGTCAATCAGATGCAAGTTCTGCCGAGAGCCGCCGTGGGTTTTCATTTGCGATAAAAGGTCGAGGTAACTTTTTTATAACGTGAGACAATCCCTTTTTACGTTACTGATTGTTTTTAACTAACGACACACTTTAGTCCCCGTAACTAAGTCCTCAGTGCGTAACTTCGCAGCCCGGCATTCATTCCTCTCAATCAAAGTAATGTTCTCAATCCTTCTCAGACTGTCTAAAAAGTCAGGTTGAAAAGAACTAATTAATTTCCGGTGTTTCGGGTTATCAAGCCTACCTTGTTAATTGTCAGCTTTCAGGCGACCTCATCCTTTGTTGTTTTAAGTTTAAAATAGGAAGATGACACTTTGCTGTCCCCGTGGATGCTGCTGTTTTTAATTTACCATGTCCTGACAATAGAAACTCTATATTGAAGTCTATTTTATGGAAATCTGTCCTACAGTGATTGAAACGTGGATTATTGTTCATGTGTTGAAATAGATAAGGAGCAAGTTTACCTTTCTTTTAAATTATACACTTTTTAAATACACAATGGACTCTTGGTTCTTGTTTTGGGCAAACTTCTGTCTCGTAAAATAAACCCAGCAGCCTTTTTGAACTTACAAAAAAAAGTATCACTGCAATATTGTTGGAGTTTGAATCCTGCGACTAATTGATTAATTAACAAATCGCTTAATCGTATGCTTGTTAATTACTCTTAGTATTCATACTAAACCATAGTCTTTCATACTGAATGTATCTTTTTCTTTTCAGTTTTTTTTATAGCCAAAGTAGGTCCCCATCACCAGCAGCCATGGGGAATATGTTTGCAGGCCTCTTTAGTTTCTTTGGGAAGAAGGAGATGCGGATCCTTATGGTCGGTTTGGATGCTGCTGGAAAGACCACTATTTTGTACAAGCTGAAACTTGGAGAGATCGTGACTACCATTCCTACGATAGGTAACTCAAATGATGTAAAATAATGACGTCTTCATCCGTTTTGGGATATTACTGTTAATGAGGACGTCCAGTTTATTCCTAATGCTATTGTTTGTTTCCTATTGTTAGGTTTTAATGTGGAGACTGTAGAATACAGGAACATCAGTTTTACAGTATGGGACGTTGGTGGTCAAGACAAAATTCGACCACTGTGGCGTCATTACTTCCAGAATACACAAGGTACGTATATTCCAGTCAAAATGGTTGTTGGATTTCAATCAGTCACTGTCGTATTTAACAGATGCAAGACTTGTCACACACTTAATCATTTGCTCCCGTTCGCTCTCGTTCTAGGTCTCATTTTTGTTGTGGACAGCAATGACAGGGAGCGAGTCCAGGAGGCCCGTGAGGAGCTCTCAAGGATGTTGGGGGAGGACGAGCTCCGTGACGCCGTGCTATTAGTGTTTGCCAATAAACAAGTAAGTCCTATTTGTGACGTTACTTTATATAAGCAAGTGTGTATCATTACCATCTTTTTGAGTTTTTTTCTGGTCTCCTTTAGTTTGCTTTAATGTTTGGTTTTCTCACTTATTTTGTTTTCAGGACCTTCCCAATGCCATGAATGCAGCAGAACTCACAGACAAGTTGGGTCTTCACAGCCTACGTGGCAAGCACTGGTACATCCAGGCCACCTGTGCCACCACTGGGGATGGTCTGTACGAAGGACTGGATTGGTTGTCTAGTCAGCTCAAAAAACAATAATCATCGGCTTTCCACCCAATCTTAGAACATGTGCTCTACTCTTAAAGTTCCCCAAAACCGAGTTACCCTCTCCAAAAAGAAGCCCTGGAAGTTTCCCTTACCTCAGCAGTTATTGTTATAAACCTACAGACCAGTGGTGGGGATGATCTATTCTTGTAAAGCAGTCAGGTTTTATTATTATTTTATGTAAATATCTTTGGTAATGGGGCAGCTTGTTGCACTCTATAGAATCATGTGGTGTTTATTTCTCTTTTGGGCTGATGGGCATCCACGTGTCTATATAGAATAAGAAAAGGGATGTGAGGAATAAGACTTTACCAGCACGATGACCTCGATGCATCCGATGACTTATTATCTGCTCACATGTACTGTAGCGGGTGATGGGCTTTTAATTAAAATAAAAACAAAACTGACTTAAACACGTATGCACTACTTGCAGCAACTGTGGTTACTTTAACAAGTGACTACATAGTACCAGCCCCCCCACCCCTAAAAAAAAAAAAAAAATTGCCATTTAGTATACGCAGGCATTGCCACGTTGTACTTGCATCCCCTTTTCCAAGTTTAAATCGTTGGTCCGTGAACACTTACCAGCCTTTGTTATGCAGTAAGTCGAACTGAGAGATGCTGCCACAATCTCACATCAACCTGCTTCATGGTTCTTTGAAAGGCAGTATGTTGAGACCGCATTGGGTTTTTGTATTTTTGAGTCTCAGGTTTATCATGTGCTGCCTTTTGAAACGTACTTGTTAGCAAAACTGCATGGTGTGGTCTGTTGGTGTTTGGGGTCGTGTTTAGTCACTGGGTGTTTACGTCGTCATCATCATCATTATTTCAGCAGCCCGATACTGTAGCGCGATTCGGTATTTGTAACTAAAGAAATTGGACACTACAATGGCCCTTCTGTCTTTGCTAAAAGCCCTCGCGAATCATGCCTTTTTTTATTTTTTAAATTTGGTTATCAAAATCTGAGTGGCGTTTTGTTGGCAATACAAACCGTTTCAGCTACATGTTAAACGCGGTGCCAGTATTTCTTCCTCTGCAGCATGTTGTGCTTTGGGTAAAGGAGAAGCCAAACACACGCCTTCCTATCAAAGACAGTTTCCTTTTTATTTCCGAGCTTCTCCAAAAGGTGTGGGTTTTGCTTTACTTATCTGAACGTGTCTTGAGGGGACATCAATTGGTTTTGTGATTTATAACTGCCTAAAATTGTGAGAACTATGTTAATCTTAAGTTTGTGTGTTTTTATATGTAAAGCTTTTGTTTTGTGAGGAAAAAGCACTGTAATTAAAGTGACTGGATAATTTTGTTATTCTGCAACTGATTTTCATTTTCACACTCTATGCAATAAAACTGCTGAATGTTACAGTGTGTAGTGGAACTTCTATCAGTACTCGGTAGTATTTTTTTAATTATACATCGGCAATTTGCTTAAGTGCAACTAAAATAGGCAAATTTACTACCTTTTTATATAAACTGTAGTGCTGAATGATGAGTGAATCAACATATTAAAGTCATTTTATTTGTTATAGGTCAAGCAGAAATCTTATCCTGAGTCTAAGACATTTTGATTCGTCATAGTAGGAAAAGCACATGGGATACGAACAGCACCGATGGCGCCGTTAACTGCGGCCGTGACCATAACGAGCCATTGTTTGTTTAATAGAATCCTCCTTGTATTCCTGTCAGAGGTCACAATGTCGTCCATGAAAGGGGCCGGATGCGAGTACGCTGCTTTTTCTCACATTTCATTGGAGTGATTAATAAAACAAACAGCCTTTGTGGCGTCCCTGACAGGATAGTAACGCACTTAGGGGGAAACAACCCCAAAACGTGGTTTCATTGCAGCCTGTGGGGGCCGTCACCCTTTGACCCAGAGAGAAATGTGATGTAAACCGCCCAGTGTTTGGGTTGAAGCAGTAATGTGGAGAGCACACCCTGTTCACATTGTGTTATAGCGGCAATCCAGGACAACATTCTTGCAGGTTGATTAGGCTGCTATGGATAATGCAGCCAAGCCTATAAAACATGGCAGGGAAGTATAGCGGGGGGGGGGGGGGGGGTTGGGTTCCTCATAGGCTGCTTTGTGTGGGCTCCTCTCCTGCTGCTCTGTCCAGCTTGGTTGTGTGTGCCAGTCTAACGGTACTCGCCGGTATAAAAAGGACCAGCCTGTTTTTTTGCACTCTAATGAATCCCTTGCTCTTTTTTTTTTAAGGGCCCCCCCCCCCCCAGGTGCCAGCCAGCAGAATACCCTCTTTCAGACCAATTCAAGGCAAACGCAAACACTACACTCTATTATGACCAATGAAGAGCATTCCAATGGTGTCGCACCAGTCAGGGAGCAGAACCTATAACGGTGAGGGATTAAGGAGCACTGGCGCTGCTGAGAATAAGACAAGTGAAGCTGCTGAGCAGTGCACGAGGGAGATGGACAGGTACAAGGCCCCAAGGGGGGCGACATGTTAAAAGAAAAAACTATTTGGAACTATTTCCAAGCATAGGTGCTATTTGGTAGCTGCAATGTCATATACTCTTTGTAATCCTGATTTAAATGATTATAAACATTGCTGTGCTCATTACAACTTACCACAACCTTCAAAAGGTCTTTGCTGAAAAGCTGCCAAAAGTGTGATAGCTTTTGAAATAGAAATGTTTATTATGAAAGGACAACTCTCTTGCATCCGTCTTTTGAGATCTTTTACTTAAGCAGTGGTAATCGCGGAGGATCAGGAGAGTAATTTCCACTATACGAGAAAAGAGGAATGTATATTTATTCCCAGATAATCATAAAAGGTCAGTTTGACTTGCAAAAATATTTTACCGTGCATTGCAATTTACAAAAAAACTAATTCAAAGCCTGTGACTATTGATAGAAACATTTAGAGGTTCAAATCACATAAAATATGTTTTAAGAAAAAAAACTTAATGTCAAACAACATAACAGAGGCCACCAGTGTCCCGTGACTAATTCACCAACTTAATGAATGGAGAAAACATGAAGGCCAAAGTTTGCGAGTCAGACACGTCGACCTTTCTCCACCTGCGGTCTGTTGGGCAGTTTGGGGCGCTCGGGGGTCTCGGGGGGTTTTTTTTTGGAAGGGGGGGGTCGGTCAGGCCGCCACAGAGCTTTCCGTCCGTGTTACGAGTCTTGGAATTGAGGGGGTGGGAAGGACATCAGTGGTCCGAGTCTGTGTCGTGGCGCCGCCTGTGGCTTTGTGTGCCACCAGCAGGGGCCGTCTTGTGGCTGACAGGGTTACGGGGGACAGGAGACCCCCCATCAGAGGAGTCTGTGTCATGCCGCTGCCGTCGATGGTGGGGGTGGGAGGGCTGTCGCTCGGCCTTTGCCCCCCCCCTTGAATGGCTGTCATGGGGTCTGGCTCCACTCTGACTGTGGTATGATGGATTATGATGATGGTGGTCCTTTCTCTGCCTATAGAGCAAAAGGAAACAAACAATCAGTGACCGGGTGAGATGTTATGAGGCCGCGGGTAAAGAGGCTGCCCGATGAGCTTTTCAGTGACTTCCACAGAAAACACTTGATGACAGCTGCAAGGTCATTTTCTTCTTATGAAATGAACAAATGACTATATTTACAAACATAGAAACATGGTTAATTCTGTACACTACCATCACATGCTGATGTTATATTGTGGCTCCTCTCTCACCACCACATTCATTCATTCATGAACCCAAATTTTAAAAAGTAATCCTTTGGCCAATTTGTGTAGGACAGTGCGTCGGCGCCCTCTAGTGCTTGTGTATGAAATCTTGACTTATGTATAAATGCGCAAAACAATTTACCCAATAAAAGAATTAAATGTGGTCAAAAAATGTTCTTTTAAGTACATGAAGTGAGTTGACTTTGTAGTGTTTCTGGTATTTTCACCACGCTCAGGGAAACTAATCCCACAAGTGTCTGTGTGGAGTAATAAACCAACCTTTTTCTGTTATCAGAGTCCGAAGAGGACGAGTCTCTTCTTTGCCGTTTCTTCTTTTTTTCCTTCTTCTTTTTCTCTTTCTTGCTTTTTTTCTCTTTCTTTTTCTTTTTGCTCTCGTGCCTACAGAGTACAAAAAACAAGGGTTGTAGAGATTTATATTATTGACATAAACAAGTGACAAAGTGTCTACAGGCTGACATTTTGCCCAGTAGAACGATGCATAACAACCCGGCGGTTCATTCCGTTATCATAGGCAGTATCCAACATATCGTGAACACTCACAGCGGCTCCACATCCCCCTTCTCTTCAGTCGGAGAAGTCTTTGATATCGACGTTTCCAGACAACCTTCCGTTTTGTGGTGCTGTAAAGATGTGGATTTGATCAAAGAAACTTAAATTCTGATCACTACCCACACAAAATATTCAAAAAGGCAGTTTATTTTCCTCCAAATTGCTGTGTGGTTACATTATAGACATCTGCATGTCTTATCTTAAGATGTTTGGTGATATTTTGGCATTGAGGAGAAGAACTTACTGTAAAAACAGGCAAGCCTAATTTAGCTGTCTCCTTTTCCTTTTGGGAGAGCACCATTTTCCTTGATCCTGCACTGTGGATGAAAACAATAATTATGCACTTTACAATCACAGATCATTAAGGAACAATGCTCTGTTATCACTTGAATGTTAACAGGAGCATTCAAATGAGTTCAAACTGGACAAATATAGAACATAGTAAAGGACCGGGACACATATCCACATTTGTCCTCCCAATATGTGGTTTGCTCTAAAACAAACACTTGTGTTTATAACATAGACATATGTTATAAACATAACAAAGCATGACTCTTTAATTAGACTCAACCACAAGAAAGTGGATATTCAACAACAATAATAGGATTTACAATTTTCTTAAAAAAAGAAAATGACCTGGAGCTTCCCAAGCCTGAGACACGGTCCACATCTCTCTCTTCACCGTCAACCTCTTCCCTCCGGTAAACATCTGCGAGGTCCTAGTTCCCAAGTTGGGAAAATTAAGTGTGCTTTATTATTTTTTGGTAGGTTCAGGCCAAATAAAGTTGTTCACAAGTAGCAGAAAAAGTGGCCTACCTCTTTGGTCAGGCCAGTCGGTTGCCTCTTTATATTCCTGTGTCCTCTAGATGGAAAATGGAAAAAACATAAGGTTTGTTGATCCGCTCTAAACTGTGTCATCCATTTATTTTTAGAGGAAGGTGTACATACAGGGCAGCCATCAGTGCCTCGTGCTCTGCGGCTTTGACAGCAGCCATTTCCTCCTCTTTGGTCAAAGGTGCACCACTTTTCTTATCTCTGGAGTACCATGACAGATCCTTGCCTTTTTGCCATCGCCCTACTGGTGCCATCAGAGAATTCCCTGGGAAAGAAAGAAAGAATGTTTGAGAAACATATGTTATTTTCAGCTGTAATGGAAAACTCAGCAGACAACTTTTTTAAATATTTAATATATCTATATCAATCAATTGTAAAAAGTCTGCAGTTTTCTTTGTAGGTTGACTGATCGTTGCAGCTTCATGATCCGAATCAGCTTTATTGGCCACATGGAGTAATTGGTGCAACAGGTAAATAAGTAACTTAAATAATAAGTCAACAGGCCACTGAGGCAAAAACGAGGGTCGCGACCTCGCCAGAGTCACCTGATGATGTCACCATGCTTAAAAAAAAATAATATGACTGCGATTGATGAGGAGGTATCGTCTATGATAGCAAAACGCCTCTTTAATGTGCCAAAATGAAAAACATGTTCTTTAACAAAACGTGTTTCGTGTCACAGCTGTGGTGTCATTACGTAGTTTTCGTTTGGTGTGCTGACATGCGGCCAGCAGTTCAGATAGCAGAGGGACTACGTGTGTGTGTGTACTCACTTTGTCAAGGGGAGCAATGAAAACGAGGACCAGCTGTTTGTAGAGTGGAAAACGAGGCTAATACCGAGCAGCCAGACCCCGTGTAATGAGGGACTTCACAGCGAAAGGTATGGAAAAGCAGCATGTGGAGTAGCGAAGCCATATGGCGTGTAGTTAAACTGCTTCTTAAAAAGACCTTTGCACGTTAGCTAAATGCTATTAGCAAGTCTATCTGGTCGGCGCTGATAGCGAATTTGGCTTCGTTTCTAAATTTAAACTTACCGAGATAATTCTCTCTGTGTTTATCGACTTTCACGTCGTCCCAGTTGAACTGGTCCTGGCCTCCTCGGACCCCTCCAGATCTTGAAGAACCGAACATTTTTTAGCAGGTTACTTTGGAGTCTGTAGAGAAGAAGCGGTGCGCCGTTAGCTTAGCCAGCTGACATTAGCCACATTAGCACACGAGTGAGCGCGATCGGCCCTCGGCGTCCACTCATCCGGGTAGTTTTGTCGTAAGTTTTCTTCCTTTTGTTGTTCGGAACAACGGGTTCTACCTGTCAGTGTTCGCTTAAACCATTGAAACTAAAATCTATTAATTCAGACTGTAATCTCCCAGAATATTGGCACAAATTGGGGGAATAGTTTGTTGAAGGAGAGTTCAGCTGATGCTAAGTCGGACTATTGTAACGTTAGCTAACGTTGAAAGTGCGACCTTAAATCACAGCTAGTCATAAAAGTGCGTATTCTCTTACCATTAACGTGGGGACTGCTGTTACCAGTTAGTTGTACGCATACATTTAACACTGGCAGGCTTTGTATCGTATATCTTTATGAGGCTAATAACAACACGCCGCGTTTCAGTTTTATCCTGCGTTTTCCCGATGCCCGCGAACCTAACGTGGAGGTTTTGACTCACAGTGATGACGTAGGCAGCACAATTTCCCTTAATGGCTATTCCAGCAAAGAGCAAGTACTGAGGAGGGAGAAAGTCATCCGGAGAGCGGCCTACAATCTCGGACTAACGTAACTCCCGATGTACATGAGATATTTTTCCAGGCTATTGTCAGGTAGGAGGGAAGGAGTCGTATTTCTTTCGCTTATACCCTGTTTGTGTTGTGTTGGGATCATCAGTAGCCTGCACGGACAGTCATTTCTTCGGGTGTGACAGGAGGCGGATTGTTTGTGTTGTCTTTAGTAGAGAGGAAGAAAATAGTTGTGTTCCCTGAGCATGGTTAAGTTTAGCTGATGCAACGTTACCCGTCCCTTTCAATCACCGTTTTCATCAGTCCTTGCGCATGGTAGCCATTAACTGAACTTTCATAAACTGTCCCATCAATATGATCTGTTTTTATCTCAGCTTTTGTAAATAACTGCCATTTATTTGAGAAATCCTTAGTATTGCCTTGAAAAATGTACATTCACTCATTTCAGCATTTTTCTGTTTATATACCATAATGTCTTAAAACGTAATACCATGGTGTTTTAAAGCCACCATTCACTGCTGCCTGCACCCTTTGAATACTTTTAATCTCAACAAGTTTAGGCCACATCGTGATCGTACTGATCGCCTAAAGCAGTCACACAGGTTTTCCTCATGCAACGAGTCACTGGTTTGCATTTGCCCACTTCACCGATTCCATGCAACTCACAACACTTTATTGCTTTCAAGGCCAAGTGCACTTTAAAGTGCATGAGATTTATATATATTATTGTCAAAAATGATGTCACAATTTGGTAAATAGAATGTAGGTTTCGGGCACAAATTCACACCACGACTGAATAACTGATTCTTGACAAAAAGATGCAGAAATATTCCGATCACAAGTCTCCAAAGCCCGAAGGAGAATATTGAAATGGCTTATTTTGTCCAACCAACAACTCCAAAGACATTTAATACAGTCAAGAAAAATACGGGCAATCAATTACGTGTGAGAAACGTTTTTTCACTTGTGAACTAGTTTCTGATGAATTTATCTAATCTAATTTAACTAATTGCTTCAGCACCACAGAGTCTGACCGCTGAGACCTGATGGATTTCACATGATTTGAATCTAGCTTCAGTCCGAGATGAATCACGAGGGGTTTATGGCACATGATTAGTCAGCCCGCTGCAATTGTAAACTTGCAGCTTCTCATTGTCTCGTGTGTGTGTGTGTGTGTGCGTGCGCGTTGGACTTCATGTTGAGGGAAGTTTAGAAGGTTTGTCATTGCATTATTTTTGTCTGTGTGTCCTTGTTTTTTGATCATGGCGTTTACAGGCGAATAAATTATTTTCAGAGCTGCAAAAACGCGCTAACAGAGAACATCGGTGACTTTAATTTTACAAACCGTTTTATGAAAATTATCGAGCAAAAGTACATCTCAGAAGTGGAGCTTAAATAGCCTGTCGCTTTAAATTATATCTTTTAGGGTTATGATCTGGTTTGAGTGGAAACCGGTCTGCTTGTGCTCTTTTTCTTTCCTTTTTTTTAACGGCAAAACAATTGATCCACTAATGATCACCTAGAAAGGTTCCCTCCACTGTGCCTGTGCGGAGTCGCTGCAGAGCGGCGTCACACACTCATCTGTGTGACCACTAACGGCAACTACTGGCGGCCGTGAGCTGTCAATCAGCCGCAGAGTTAAAGAACCTAAAATGTGTTTTTGAGACACCACGTCTGCCTACAGCTGTTAAAATGGGGCCCCAAAAATGTAGGTGAGGTTATTCTGCAGTTATAGCCATGGACAGAGGTTATATTAATGACAATGATGAAAATAATCATTTGTTGTCGTCCTACCTGTTTTTTAATGGTAAAACTAATTTGATGCAAATTTCCCAAGTAGGTTGGTGTATTACTATTTAAAAAGTCTTTGGTACTTGTTGGTTCACACCCCTCTCAGGACTGGACTCCAAGCATGTTGAAGTTTCTGAAAAAGAAATGGTTGCTTTTATATGTTAGACATCGGAGAAGGACTCTGCACCTGCAAAGACAACCTCAGTCCGTCCCACTTGGACACTAGAAGGCTCGCACGCTGTCATTTGTCCTGTACGAATACACCGTGAAACCGCAAGAATCGTAAAAAATAGCATGAATGAATTTGTGGCCACACTGCGCAGCCCTATCGAGGCCTTTGAACTAGAAATTGAACTCGCTTACATGTTTTTACCGTAATATTTGATAAATCTTGACACTTTGAAATGGACCTAGATAAATAATCTAATTAATAAAGTCCACCCCCACCCTTTTCTTTTTGCTCTCCTCCCTCCCACACACACTCCAAACACAATCGACTTGTCTCGCACAGACTCGCACCCTCCCCGCTCACTTTGCATTGTGCGTCCGCTTGAGCTCCGTGTGTACTGACGAAAGGTAAGCTGGAGAACTAAAGGCGTCGCGTTATTCTTTACTTGAGTAGCTCACCTAAGAAGTGTTGTGAACATAAGAAAAGATGTGTAGAATATAAAGCAGCATAGAAAAGATGAGCTATATCCAGGTTTGTTGGTGATTGGATGTCTGCATAATTTAGTTAAAGGGAGCTTAATGTTTTTTGTTTGAAAAATGAACGCAGGTCTCTTAAAAAGTTGTATCTTTTAAGCCTCTCGTGGGTCTTATTTCTTCTGTTTTATTCCGCCGCCTCAAGCAGAGAAGGGTTCTCCAATCAGTGCTAATTGCCCCCCCGCGCCGCAGTCAAGTCCCGACTTGCCAGCCTGTTGTTTTCCCCGTTTGCTCTCCCCCTTGTGGAAGACGTTTTGGTCCCTTGGTTGTCCATCCCACCGAGGTCTGACTGAGGACGCCAACCCGTTGAAATGTGTCGTTCTGGTTCTATAATGACAGATGCCGTGAGTTTCCAGGGAATGTGTCTCCCCCTTAACGCCCTCTGTTTGCTGTACTGTCCCCCCCCCTCTAGCAATGGCGGGACCCAGGCCCGTGGTGCTCAGCGGCCCGTCCGGGGCAGGGAAGAGCACTCTGTTGAAGAAGCTCTTAAAAGAATACGACAGTGTCTTTGGCTTCAGTGTTTCCCGTAAGTATTCCGCTCTAGATGGATCGGCCGTTTATTCAAAAAATAAAACCCAAGAAGGAAACATACCGGATGTCATTTTAAGAGGATGTCTTCTCAACCCCCAGATACAACGAGAAATCCTCGGCCCGGAGAAGAGAACGGCAAAGGTACAACCAGTTCTTCCTCTTTCGGGACCTGTGTAACAGCAACGGCATATTTCTTGAGTCAGCAGCGTTTGAGCTTCTGTTTCCGTCTCCAGATTACCATTACGTCACACGGGAGGTGATGCAGACGGGGATCGAAAAAGGCGATTTCATAGAGAGCGCCGAGTTCTCGGGCAACATGTACGGCACCAGCAAAGCCGCCGTGCAGGACGTGCAGGCCAAGAACCTCATCTGCGTTCTGGACATCGACATGCAGGGCGTGAGGAACATCAAGGGCACGGACCTCCGTCCCATCTACGTCTCCATCCAGCCCCCATCCATCGCCGTCCTGGTGAGCACGGACGGAAATGCGTTTCATTGAATCAATACGTCCCTTTGCTTTGCACCGCAGTCATGTCGTCCTGCAGGTTTCGGGTGTTGTGAATTCTTCTGAACGCTCTGTTTGGTTCCAGGAAAAACGTTTAAGGGACAGAAAGACCGAGTCAGAGGAGAGCCTCCAGAAGCGTTTAAAAGCAGCAAAGGTGGACATGGAGTTCAGTAAGTATTTATTTATTGGCTATATTAAAAGATATAAACGGTGAAAAATATGAGTCTAAACATATTTATGTTCTTCTAGGTAAAGAACCTGGAATGTTCGATGTCCTAATCATCAATGATAATCTGGAGGATGCCTATGGGGAGTTAAAACGGGCTCTTCTCGAGGTGAGCTTCTATTGCAAAGCACAGTATCACATCAGTGTCACCCTGCTTTAATGCATCGACTCGAGCATGAAAAGGCTTAGGCGCTCTTTTATACCTTCTGTGTACAGTGAATTAAATTCCTTTACGTCGGTTTTAAAGAAAAAAAATCTGCTCGGTCTCTTACAAACGGGAAGTTGGCTTGAATCCCCACCTAGAGACCGATTGTACAATCATAGCCTAGCAACTGTAACCTAGCACAAGTGACAGGACCACTCTACATTTCTCCTCTTCTTTGGTTTCTCACAAAGCAAAAAGCGTAAAAGCCGAACTGAACTTTGTGCTTATCTGCTGCAAACAGCCTCACCGGAAGTTTATCCGTCCGTGCTGTAGATGTTTCTGTATTTCTTGAACCATCCTGACTTGCATGAGGAGAATAATTAAATGTTTGTATCCCTCTCTCTGTAGGAAATCACTAAGGTCAAGGAAGTCAACATGTCTTCGTAAGGGCCTTCAGCATCCTCACACCTTTTTGTTCCTGACCATCCACTCCTCCAAAATAAAAGCCCACAGGCCTCGGTTCCGGTCGTGAACATTCCCTCAGATGTGGTCTGTGAAACTCCAGCCAACATTCCTTGGCGGGTACACAAATACGTATGTTTTTTTTATATGGTACTTAGAGGTCGATACTGACAAATGATATCTTAACTTATTTTAGTGACCTGATATTTCCCACATAGTTCTTCACTTTTCACTCGTATGAACAGAAGTTACTCCGATGATGCTCACTTGATGTGTGCCTGGTTTCTCGCTTTGCCGGATAAACTGATTGCAGCTTTGTTCTCTTTTTTTGACCGACGCAAACACGGAGGTGACACGACTCACTCCATCATGCGAATTAACCGGTCTTACGAGACTGTAGAGCTTGTTCCTGGATGTCTTGACTAGTGGCAGAGTGTTTGCGCTGAGCTGCACAAATTTAGTTCAGGAGGGAAACTACAAATTTAGAACTTCAGCATTACAGTTGATTTCTTATCCAAGAAAAACAACGTGGTGGCTGTTTATGCTCAGGAGTGCATGGAAGTAATTCCAGTGCTAGTCAATGTTTATAGTTGTGAGTCATAGTTCATATAGCGCTCTACTGAGACTAGATCTCATAACAGATGGAGAAACGGCTTAAAACCACACATTGAATATTATTATTTAAAAAATGCCTTTTTTTATTCAACCAATTTTCATTTTTCTTTTACAATTGTAAATTTGAAAAACTTTAAAAACAGTTATATCATTTTGCAACTCCCCCATAGTAAAATTACATTCAAACTAAAGCAGGAATTTTGGAATGAAAATGAATAATATATTTTCCTTTTTTGTGTTGCTTAGAATCAAACACGGAGATTTCCTTTCAACTGAGAGAAGATCTATGACCGTGGTTTACACAGGAACCGTGAAGTAAAATTTCATATTTTTAAGACCCTTCTCATTCATTTTAAGACATCGTGACCACCTTGGATTCTAACTGGCTACTTCAGGGACACGCGTGAACTCCTTTTACTATAAGTTAATGTAAGAAAGCACAAATAAACAGCCCGCAGTATGCTCAAAATCTTCTCATGTATACTTACACTCTTCAACTCTGTTTTGGCTGTTATTTATAGATTCTTTTTATTGTATTGTACATGTATGTTATGGTGAAATTAAAGGAATAGGAGATCAAGCCTTTCATTACATATTCTTGTATAACAAGTATCTAACTAATATGAGCAGTAGATAAATTGAATGCATTGACCAACAAAATAAAATACTTCTGGAATGTGTGGCAGAGGCAGGATTGTAAAACATTTGTCCAATTGTTTCACTACCTGCATGTCTGACCAACTTCATCTGACTCACTGTTGCTGTTTTCAACACAGTGAAAACTGGTTTGGATCAGTGATAGTTGATTGCAGGGGGGATTAGACATTGCTCGTCGTCATGGCGCAGGGGTTAGAGAAGGTGTGCTGGGAAGCACAAGGTAGGTGGTTCAAGTCCAGGCTGCCCCATGTTCCATGTCGAAGTGTCCCTGAGCAAGACACCTAACCCCTAATTGCTCCCCAGGCAAAACTGTGAAAAAGCCATGGGTTTAAAGTGTAATGTAAGTCGCTTTGGATAAAAGCGTCTGCTAAATGACATGACATGACATGTAATGTAATGTAATGTAATGCTCGTGTCCGGTGGCTATGTAGTGGCTCTTGAGAACACCCCTCTGGTTTGAGTAGAATGGCACAGTCCAGTTATCCTGCGCCGGTGTGATGCAGCATCTCTGCTCCAGGAACCTCTCCTGCCGGCTGCTTATAAATGACTACAAAATATGTTATGATGTTTTTTTTACACGCTAAAATAGTTTTTTTTTTTTAAATATCCTATACATTCGACTTTTATTTTTTTCGGCACGCTAAAAAAATATTTGTATGACTCATTTAAGTGTGTGTTACAAATAAGAGTTGTGAAATAAACTGCCCATACTTGTTTGCAGTACAACTGCATACCCATCTCAGGACTGGACTCCAAACATGTTGAATTAATTAGAGAACTCAAACATATTTGGAAAAGAGACACGCATACAGGACAAGCAATTAGAGTCGCACCCTCCCCGCTTCCTTTGTAATGCATTTGCATTGTGCGTCTGCTTGAGCTCCGTGTGTACTGACGAAAGGTAAGCTGGAGAACTAAACCGTCGCGTTATTCTTTGCTTGAGTAAACCTAAGAAGTGTTGTTAACATAAGAAAAGATGTGTAGAATATACAGCAGCATAGAAAATATGAAATTAACCCAGGTCTCTTAAAAAGTTGTATCATTTAAGCCTCTCGTTGGTCTTATTTCTTCTGTGTTGATTCCCCCGTTTGTATGGAAACCCATTTCCGCCACGCAAAGAAAAGAAGAAATTATGACTTTATGAGTCTAAATTATCGAAATTATGACTTCGGAGCCTGCGCATGCGCATATCTTTCGTTGTTTGATATATTGACTTTCCAAACCGTCTTAGCGACTTCTTGTCAGCGACCTTATCTGGTTTTATTGGAGACTTTAGTGGTGTCTGACGTGACGTGACTGAAGCAGAAACCTGGCGGCTCGCAGCAGCCCAGCTGCGGTCAGAGAACAGAGGAGACACACGTCACGTCCCGACTGACATCAACGCGCGCATGCGCAAAGCCGCCTCTGAGTCTGCAGCGTCTTTCCTCATTGAGCGCTGGTTCAATAAAGAGAGAACTCTCTTCAGGGCTTTTCAATGGTTACCAATCACGATAACTACGGAATAAATACCACCCGGAATGTATTTTATCTCCCTAGAAGTTTGATTTATTTCGGACTCGGAAATACCGAAGATAATTTAGACTCCGCTGAAAGTCGGACGTCCCTGTTTGTAATGAGGGGGGAGTGAGTGGGAGCAAGTGTCCGTAGAACGTTTACAGTTCGGTAAAGTTGGCAACATATTCACAGATTCGGACTTCCTGGTTTAATAGCAAGTCAGTGAGAGGTTGTTAAACTCTGTGTGACTGTAGACCGTAGTCACCCGCCATGTCATAAATTTGACTTTATCTCACAATTTCGACATTCTTAAGTCATAATTTCGACTTTTTAAGTCATAGTTTTGGGGCTTCCATGCGTTTGCTCTCCCCCCTGTGGAAGACGTGTTGGTCCCTTGGTTGCATTTAAGTGCGGCCGTCTTTGCGTTTTATCGCGTCCATCCCATCGAGGTCTGACTGAGGCCGCCAACCCGCTCTACTGTGTATTTCTGGTCCTATAATGTCGGATGCTGTGAGGATGTGTCTCCCACCCTCTCTGTTTGCTGTACTGCCCCCTCTGTCCCCCTCTAGCGATGGCGGGACCCAGGCCCGTGGTGCTCAGCGGCCCGTCCGGGGCAGGGAAGACCACTCTGTTGAATAAGCTCTTAAAAGAATACGACAGTGTCTTTGGCCGCAGTGTTTCCCGTAAGTATTCCGCTCTAGATGGATCGTTCGTTTATTCAAAAAATAAAACCCAAGAAGGAAACATACAAAATGTCATTTTAAGAGGAGTTTGTTTTATTTGAGACTTAATGTATCTATGCCGAAGCACATTCCTTTTCTCACCAACCATGAGGGCTCGTCATTGTCATCAGTGTAGCACAGTATGAAATAAAGTAGCCTGTGAGATAAATGTCTTCTCAACCCCCAGATACAACGAGAAGTCCTCGGCCCGGAGAAGAGAACGGCAAAGGTACAACCAGCTCTTCCTCTTTCGGGACCTGTGTAACAGCAACGGCATATTTCTTGAGTCAGCAGCGTTTGAGCTTCTGTTTCCGTCTCCAGATTACCATTACGTCACACGGGAGGTGATGCAGACGGGGATCGAAAAGGGCGATTTCATAGAGAGCGCCGAGTTCTCGGGCAACATGTACGGGACCAGCAAAGCCGCCGTGCAGGACGTGCAGGCCAAGAACCTCATCTGCGTTCGGGTCGTCGACATGCAGGGCGTGAGGAGCATCAAGGGCACGGACCTCCGTCCCATCTACGTCTCCATCCAGCCCCCATCCATCGCCGTCCTGGTGAGCACGGACGGAAATGCGTTTCATTGAATCGGTACTGTGTTGCCGGGTGCGGCCGTCCGTTTGCTTTGCACCGCAGTCATGTCGTCCTGCAGGTTTCGGGTGTTGTGAATTCTTCTGAACGCTCTGTTTGGTTCCAGGAAAAACGTTTAAGGGACAGAAAGACCGAGTCAGAGGAGAGCCTCCAGAAGCGTTTAAAAGCAGCTAAGGTGGACATGGAGTTCAGTAAGTATTTATTGGCTGTTTTAAGTGATATAAGCGTTAAATATATGAGTCTAAACATATTTATGTCCTTCTAGGTAAAGAACCTGGAATATTTGATTTCCTAATCATCAATGATAATCTGGAGGATGCCTATGGGGAGTTAAAACAGGCTCTTCTCGAGGTGAGCTGCAAAGCACAGTATCACATCCGTATCACTCAAGCATTTAAAAGTTTAGGAATTCTTTGATACCTTTGTGTACAGTGAATTAAATGTTTTTACATCAATTTTAATGAAAGAAAAAAATGCAATCTGACCTGTATGAGGAGCATAATGAAATATTTGTATCCCTCTCTCTGTAGGAAATCACTAAGTTCAAGGAAGTCAACGTGTCTTCGTAAGGGCCTTCAGCATCTTCACACCTTTTTGTTCCTGACCATCCACTCCTCAAAAAAAGAAACACAGACTTCGGTCCCGGTCGTGAACATTCCCTCAATGTTTCTGACGAGGCCTATTAATTAATAACTTGTTTTAAAGCACAAACATTCTATCTCCCAACCCACTCCCCCCCCCCCTCACCCAAAAGCCTCAATGATTATCTGTACCTTAACCATGAAGCTCAGGATAAAGCTGCTTCGTTGAAATACAGCTATAACTAATACTACGACTTATATTGCCACAAACTATTTAAAAAAATGTTTTTTGTTATTTCTGTATTTAAAAAGAAAATCATTCCAGCTCCTGCAACTTTTGTATTTTCAGAAAATCTATTGAACTTCATTTCAGCTTCTCCCATCTCTGTATTATGAGCAATTCTTTAAAATAATTTCAGATTTTCTGATTTACAGCAATGTTTTAATATTCATTTCTGTATTTCTTTTGACAATTTTTGCAATTAATTCAGCTTTTCTCATTTCTGTAATTTCAGCAAAAAAATTCATTTCAGCTTTTATCTTTCAGCATTCCAATGCATTTTCTTCTGCAGGAAATGCATTTACTATTGCACTGGGACACTTGGACACACGTTAACTCCTTTTACTATACATTAATGTAAGAAAGCACAAATAAACAGCCCGCAGTATGCTCAAAATCTTCTCATGTATACTTACACTCTTCAACTCTGTTTTGGCTGTTATTTATAGATTCTTTTTATTGTATTGTACATGTATGTTATGGTGAAATTAAAGGAATAGGAGAACACGCCTTTCATTACATATTCTTGTATAACGATTATCTAACCAATATGAGCAGTAGACCAACAAAATAAAACACTTCTTGAATGTGTGGCAGAGGCAGGACTGTAGAAAAATGTGTCCAATTGTTTCACTACCTGCATGTCTGACCAACTTCATTTGACTCACTGTTGCTGTTTTCAACACAGTGAAAACTAAAGCTTTTTATTATGAACAATAATTATCTTTAACGTCAGTTTACAGCACATTAAAAGAACATGTAACAACTTTTAACGTACTATATAATCGCTTTTTAAATTTTTTTTATAAAAGTTTTTTCAACATGGTCGTTGTGGCGCAGGGGTAGAGAGTGGGCGCCGGGAACCGCAAGGTTGGTGGTTCGAGGCCCAGCTGCTCCATGTCCCTGAGCAAGACACCTAACCCATAATTGTGATAAATAAAAATGTAAAAAGCCGTGGGTTAAAAATGCAATGTAAGTCGCTTTGGATAAAAGCATCAGGTAAATGACCTGTAATGTAACACAGAGGACCAGTCCATAGTTGATTGCAGGGGGAAGGCTGGTGTGCATTTCATATGTAGTGGCTCTTGAGAGTGCCAGTAGGATGGCAAAGTCCAGTTTTCCGGTGTGATGCAACCTCTCTGTGCCGGCTGGTTCTAAGTTTGTATAAGTAAAATATGTTTGACGCATTTTTTCTCTAAAAAAATTGTATCAAGCATTTCTGTGTGTGTGTTACAAGTGGAAATTGTGAAATAAACTGTCCGTACTTATTTGCAGTACAACTATTTATTAGATAACTCAAACATATTTGAAAAAGAGACACACATACAGGACAGGCTATTACAATATATCAGTGCGTTAACGTTAATACATAACTCGCTCTTTGTAACTGACTAAAATACCTTTTAAAACAACACCACAAATCTTCAAGGGCCAGCTACTGTTTCTAGTCGCTATTAAAAAGGTAGTAGACTTTGAGCTTTCACAAACGTTCCATCGCAATAAAATACAACATTAGAGAGCAGATCAATGCAGGCACCAATCTAAATATCTTGCATGTGACCCGGTGATTGCACTTCATCACTAAGTGTCACGTTTAATTATTGGTGCAAACCTGTTTCCCAACAACAAATAACACATGCAGTCACACAGAGAGATACAGGGTGAAGAGGATTTACTTTACCGATGGCTTACTTGTAGAAATGCCATTTTGTAAAAGCCGCTCACCAATAAATAATTAACAAACACCCAAACTGAATTTGACTGGACAAAGTTCTGTTGGTTTGTTTGATTTAAAGGAACTTAATACTGAGCTAGAAAGATCTAGACGTGACCTCACTAATTCCAACATTTGCTGCTCCAGGACGCTAAAGCACTGCAAAAGGTACAAAAGTAAAACCCCCCAAAATATATATACCTAAATATACTCTATGATCATTTCTTTGTGTGTACAGCAATAGTCGTCACTACGGATGATGCCGGGATCAGTTACTACTAGTGGGTCAAGGTTCATTAATTCTGGAAGGTCTATTTAAGTGAAATGTGATGATTTGAAAAACTCTAAACTAAACTAAAAAACAAATCCGCTCATCAGTAAAATGTCGCACCTTAATTTCCCTTTTCTCTGTGTCCACCATGTACATTGTACAAGACATTCCGCATGTCATCAAATGTCATCAAGCAGTTGTAACAAAGCAGTTTGGGACTGAAACATGCGTACGGTAACATATTAATACTCATATCTTCCAACTCGTCAAGAAAAAGACCCAGCGATGCGTTGTTCATGTCATTAAATGTCCCCATTTAAGACAAAGAGGGCTCCTACTGGTTCTGATGAAGCTCGTCGCTGATCTGTAGAGTGACTGGGTTGCCCACTGATGTGTAGCCGTAGGTCTGAGTGGACACTTTGGTCTTGAAGCTCTGCTGCCCGCCATCGACTCTCTGCACCTCTGAGCGGTACGAAGGCTTCACTTCGACCTTTGCGTGGCTCACTTGGATGGGGACGTACCTCTCTGTCCTGGACTGACCTCCGCTGGCTTGTGGGACTCCGGATGAGAAAAGGCTGCCGGAGAGATGCTCCCTGAACCGGCCGAAGAAGCCGCTTCTCTGCCTCTGGACCACGACAGGCCGTCCCACGTTGAGGAGCACCGGCTGTCCTACGGTGGACCCGCCGATCTCCCTCTGGAGCACCGAGATCTCACAGGGCTTCTCTGCAGCAGGCTCGCGGCTGCCGGACAAACCGAAGGTCTCTCCATCTTCTGGGACGTAGTCCTCCAAGTCCTCCAGGGTCAAAACACGGCCGCCTCGGGTCAGGATCTCAGGCTGCGGTCTTCCGAGCGAGTTATGATCCTCCTCTTCATCGTCGGGTTCAAAGATGATGGTTTGATCGTCGTCCAGGTCCTCACTGTCCTCTCCAGCTGGACTGAGGACAGACGAGAGCTCACGTGGTTCTTCGGTGACTTCCGTGGCAGAATCAGAGGGAACACCCTCCTCCTCTTCTTCCCAGGACAGCGGCTGGCTGCTGAGGTCTCCCTGCAGCTGGGCCTGCTCCACCAGCTTGTTGTTGGAATTGTTAGTGTTTGGGTTCGCCGCTGTGGATCTTCTGGGTCTGGGGGCAATCGTTGCTCGGTCAGACCCTGCGGGGGAGATGCCCCTTCTCCTCGACAGCCTGGGCGATTTATTGACCTTGTACTCGATGACCTCCTCCACCTCCACCCACCTGGGCTTGCTCGCCGGGGCGCTCGCTTCCGCGCCCTCGGGCACGGTAACATAGAGCGTGGGGATGGCGCTCTTTCTCGGGGTGGGAATCCTCCTCGGGCGGGCTGCGGGGGGCTCCGGGGTGGAGGTCTCTGAGCGGTGGAGTCCAGCAGCAGACAATCCGGGAGACTTGTGCCTCCTCATACGTTGGTTCTTCACCACAGTGGTTATGGTCTCCTCGCTGGTGTAAAGAGAGAGAGAGACAGTGTAACGGACGTGATAAAACTCTAATGCGTATCCGGATGCAGTTTGCGCGCCTGTGATTAAAGCTTGGGGGGGCTAACAGTACGAGTGACACTGAGCTGTGTCACCAAAACAAGTCTGATGTCAAGTGAGGACTTCCCACGTGCCGCCGTAACCTCTGATGCACTGCAGATTGTGTTGCATTCCAATGCAGACGCTGTGTGAGCAGCCGCAGTTATTAAAGCAGACAGCACCCCGGTGAACAAAGCCCGTCAGGGTCAGAATCCTCAGGCTTTAAATACATCCACCATGATGAACACACAAGGCCAAAGAAGACATTAAATGATCTTTAACTGCATTTTAACTTCCACGCGGCAAGAATAATATAAATACAAATAAAACATTCAATGCATCTGCATCACAAAGTCAGAGACTGACGAGTAAATCCACCCTGGTACAAATATCTTTGACGGTTCCTAATCTTGACAAATGATCTCAAGAGTTGAATAGAAAGTTCTTCCTAATAGTCCAAGTAACATTTATTATCAGTGATTAACATGTTATGTGCAGAGGAATTGTCAAGATTATTTGATGTGCAATCAAGCACCAGAGCTGCTGCAGAATCCAGATTGTTTGAGCATGTTCGCACTTACATGATGATGGTTTTCTTTGGTATCCTCGTCTCCTGTTCAGTAACTACGGGAGGAAGCAGATTACATTTACTAGACTAGATGCAATTATGCATTTCTAACATCTACAAATGTGTGCATATTATACCAACAACCCTCAACAAAGGGGACTCCCTGTAAGTCAGTGTTCCTACCTTCGATATTGATGGCCTGCCCGCCGCGAGTCGCAGCAGAGGGGGGGGCGAGACGAGCGCCACACTTGGCCGTGCCCAGACGATTAGACAGCTGGCAAAAGCCGACGAAATAGATGAGTTATTGCTGCTAGTTGATATCAACCGAGTTAGAATTAAGATTTATACTTTTCCCTCATATGCGCAGTAATTAAACAACCCATCATAAAGCCTGTGATTCAAGTAGGAATCTTTAATGTCCACCAACCTCGCACTCGTAGTGTCCCAGGTCTCTCTCCGTCAGGTTTTTTATGGCCAGGACCAGAACTCCACTGCGGAGCTCGCTGTAGGTCTGATACTTCTCCTGGTCGGTCAGCAGCCGGCCGTCTTTGAACCACCTTGTTCATAAACGAGGCCGGGAAAAAAAAAGATGTTTACACAGAGGGAGGCTAAAGACTCAAAGGGCCGTCTGAGTTGAATAAAAATGCTCCTACCTGATCTTGGGGTTGGGGGCGCTCTGTATGACGCAGGTGAACTGAGTGTCTCCTCCAGCAACAAATGTAGCATTCCTCATTTTATTCACGAACCGAGGAGGCACTGCAACAAATAGAATGCATGGATTAAATAATAATTGATGTTTTCGGTGTTAGGGTTCACGTCTGCCACTTACCCTGAACAGTGATCTTGCCGAGAGTGCTGGCGTTGCCGGCCGAGCTCGCGGCGAAGCACATGTACTGCCCGGAGTCATCGGCTGTCATGTTGTCCAAGATCAGAGTGCAGGAACCGTCCGGGTCCTGGATGACGATGTGATGAGGATCGGCCTCCACGGCACGTCCGTCTGCGTACCATCAAGTCGACAAGATGAAACACATTTAGCCCCGGCCTGCATATTCGACGTTAGCCTGTCACTAAGCGCCACGCACCCATCGCTCTGTAAATACAATCTAAAAACAAAAGTGCCTCACCCTTGAACCAAGTGACGGCTGGTTTGGGAACACCAGTGACTTTGCAGGCCAGCTTAACAGTCTGTCCCAGCTCTGCTGTGCAGTTTGCTAGAATTTCATCAAAGTCGGGAGGACCTGTGGAAGTAGATTAACCAGGAAAGGTAGTCGAAAATAAATTTTGAGTGATAAAAAAGACGCATTTATTGTGTGTGCGTGTGGTCCACTGACTCCACGCAGGCATGCTGTATCGCTGCTGCAGTTCTCGGAAGTCTCTCAGCCACGAGTTCTTGATGGTGACGGTGCGCGCCTGCAAGGTGTACTTCCTCACAGAGTCCTCGCGCTCGTGCCAGATCTCGAAGGCGCGGTCGTCGCCCTCCACCGTCTCGTTCACGTCAATGTTGTTCAGCTGCGAGACAGAACGCATCGCGTAAGCCGGCGGTCAGGAAAGATGAGCACGAAGGAGAAAGTTGTGGTGGAAAGTTGTACCTTCATCATGTTCTTAAAAACGTATTGTTGTGTGTCGGTGTTGCTGTCCCTCTTGGGCTTGCAGATTATGCAGTAGTTCTTAAACAGGAACACATGCCGGTGGTGTCCTCTAGAGGACGTCCTGATTCCTGGCGCCCCTTCCCACACTTGGAAGGGTCCCTGGTTTGAAAAGAGAAAAAAATATACATATACAAAATACAATGATATATAATTGTACTAAGTGACGATTATCACTGCGTCGGACAGAAGCACCACCGACCTGTCTCATTGGCTCTCCTAATACGTCCAGTGTGGCCGGATAGTTCTCGATCATGGAGACGTGGTGCGTGTTCTCAGAGCGCTGAGGGAGTGCGGACACCATGGCATACGCTTCTTCCAGAAGGCAGCAGTTCTGGCCATTTTTGGCCTTGTTTCGGATGAGCTCCTGAAGGTGAAGAAGGGAGAAGAAGGAGATTTCAATAAAACGTCCGTGGGAGAGAAAGAGATCTAAAAAACCAAACGTCTTGCACGCGCGTAACGCAGGCGATGACTGCGCCTCAAAGGCTCGTGTGTGTAATGAGGTCAAAGCCGGTACCTTGAGGGCGGCCTTGTACTTCTGAATCCTCTCCAGTGGCTGTTGGAGGCTGGCGTTGACGCTACGTACCGGGGGGTCAGCGGGGTCTGCGTTGGCTTGTACTTTGTCTGTGTACTCCTGCAATGTAACAAAGGGGAGATTTTCAAGTTCAAATATTTACACTGGTCCAGAGTCCTCTCATTGCATGTCCCAGAGTTACCTTGAAGAAGCGGTGGACGGCCTTGTCGCTGACAGCCGACTCGGCCAGACTCTGACCGACGAGATAGTGGAGGTACTTCTCAAAGCCCTCCTTGTTCTTCAGGAAGCACATGGCGACATCATCGTCCGTGTCACAGTCGTTCAACTTGGGAAGGAATGCCCTGCAATGAAGAGAATCGCATTTAGAGTCTTGGTGTGAATCCCGTTCACCTTTTCCCTGGCTGTGGAATACTGATCCTTGCTCACTTGCTGTGGAAGGAGTTGATGTCATCAATGTTCCTGAATATGGCTTCCGTCTGGCTGCTGACATCGGGCGGCGCATCGGGGCTGTCGGCATGCTTCCGGTGATGGGAGGTGAAGAAGTCCATCTCTTTGACAAACTCCGACTCTCCATTTATCAGTTCTTGGATGAGTTGGCTGAGGATATGAAATAATAGTTGCTCACGACACATCCTTTAGTTCCAGTATTCTGAAATTGAGTGTATGTATTCTTTTACTTACAATAACTTCCTTTTGTATTCACCCTCAGACACCTCCTCTGAGTTTGTCTCCGGAAGGTCACTCGAATCAGCAGAAAGCTGCAACAATATCAATATTTATACGTTTCAAAACGTTCAAAGCAATGATATAAAGTGGTGAAAAAGTTAAGATGTTACGTTGCTGGATAAGGGTTTTAATCTTGAAGACGTACTTTGAGCTTCTTGTCCAGGTAGGCGGGTGAGACCCAGCCTTGACGGGACGGTGTGTTTTTGGTGGGTTTGGTCCGGACCAACCATTTGAGCGGATGAGCCGAGTCCAAAACCTCCACATACTGTCCCTCCTTGAGGGAGATGGATTCTTTGCTTGCTAACGTGGGGTTGTAGTCGGCCGTTGCCACGTAGATGTCACACATCTGAAAAAATAGATTATTACCAATACGTCCACTATGATACTAAAGAGGCAAAATGTTTCCCCCGTCAAGCTAATCATTATTATCTATCCTTTACCAGATCACACAGTGACCAAAACAAGCATTTAGGTTCATAGTTTAACACAATATCCCACTGAGAACTTCTGCACATCTCACCTCTCCCCTTGCGTCCCCCTCGTCCGATTCCGAGGAGGAGTCAGCGATGAGAGAGGGGGGGCGAGAGCGGCCGTGATGAGGCGACGCAGACGGGGTCTTGGTCTCATCGTCGCTGTCAGCGCCCGGTACGCGTAAAGAAGCTGAGGCGGGCGAGGGCGGCGGGAGGTGATCAGAGGAGGAAAGGTCAGTCGTGCAAAGAAGGAGAGGACGTCCGAAATAACTGAAGATGAACAAAGGCTGGGGGCGTCACGCGTGGTCTTTAGTTTGGGGAGTAGAGCGTGGCGATCAGCTCAAGGTCACATTAACTCTCCTGGTGCTTTATTTACATGGAAAAGTTGTCTCAACATTGAAATCATTACCCCAGTAATTAATTTATATTTATCGATTTTCCGTGATGTAAAGGGAAAAAAAACCCAACAACAATCATTTCATTGTGAATGCTTTGCTACGTGTTAGTATTGTGACGACATGCGAGAAAAAGCTACACCACAGATAACACGGATTATCTGATCTCTTCACACACATGTCGGTGAGCGTGGATTCCAACCATGTGTTGGTGAGACTTCATAGTCGCTTTAATCACTACGAGCTGCTCAGCAATTATGCTGACGCAGGAAAAAGGTGAAAGTGTCGTGGCTGCACCTTCACATATACGTTTAGTTTTCACTTCGTAAAAGGACATTTTACTCAAAAATGTTTCCACAAGTAACCTGTATCTATACTTCAAACGTTTATTAATCATAAAGCTGATGCACTCCGGATACATACTGGTAGTTTTGGGCCAAGATTTCATCCACTGGAGCACTTCAAGATTCTGTGAGCTGTCTGAATAACAAATTGATGATTGGATGAGAATTGTACTGATCGGATGGCTAGACTGATGGATGTAAAGGTGGAGAAGACATAATGCCCGTATGAAGCAATGAAAAGTCATGTGCTCAAACATGCTGAAAAACAAGCGCTGGAAAAGCATTGAAGAATTGAAGAGCTACACACTAAACAGCATTTCACAATTCTTGAATAATCAGCCTCTGTAAGCAACTAGCACAGACGTCCATAGCAGCTAGCATGTTTCATGTGCCGTGTCAGAACATTACTAGTTAATGGACTTTTATTCCCTTCACACACACACACACACACACATCCCACCGGGTGATTTAAGGCGGGCTCAGCATTTAAATCACCTGATATGGTTTGGAACGAAAACCTAGTTTTTGGGAGACCTTTGGGCTCAAATCTCTGACCTTCTGTGTATAATCTGGTCACAGTTAGCTTGTATGATGATGACAGGATTAAGTTTTCACACTGACCAAAAACATCCATGTGTTTTACCTTTTTACAAACATCTTTCTGTGTTTTTGTGTCTGTGTTCTAAGCTAAATGGGCGATTTACAACTGAACATTAAATGTGGGCATCACATTACTTCAATAAAGCAAAATCAATTCTCTTTCTTGGTTTGAACCAGATTACCTGGTTGGGTTAAACTAAACTTGGTGTGTAGAAACATATGAATCAACAGTTTGGATCAACTAAAGTTTTACTGTAAATTCAGATTTCTGGAATTTAACATGATAGAAAGTGCCTTCAAATGTAATTGGATTTCTTTCTAATTAAAATAATTAGATAAGGAATCAACTGAATGGTCCGTAACACTCACTTACCCTGTGTAATCTTTGCTGATACCATTTCAGTGATCTGGTTGGTGAGTTTCAGGAGGAATTCCTCGGTACCTACTTCACCTAGGTACGATGTTTTACTCTCTTAAATCAAAAGCAAAGCGAAAGAGAACACCATAAATATTGCCGTATTGATTACAAAAAATCATTCATACTATAAATAACAAAAAACATGAATACCACAGAATAAGATCTCACCTTTTGCTTTGCCGGCCGCCTCTTCTGGAGCACTAACTGTGATGTTGAGAACCCTGAGGAGAGTAAATGTTACTGATCTGTTGTTTCACTATGTATCTGTTTAAAATACACTGTGCATCCATTTTTTAGGTGTAAACCTTAAATGTCAAGACAAACTCACTCTGAGGCTTTGGGCTCCTTCTTTGGTTGCGGCGCTAGGATAGAAGGGTAGAGACACATATCACATATGTATATAATTAAGATCCAGTCAGACTACTGTCTTTAATCTATTTAAAAGTCAGTATTGCTTTCAGATGAAGGGCCTGTATGGCTTTGCTTACTCTGATCAACCCCTAGGTGGGCCGTGCAGATGGACTGCCCCGCTCTATTTGTGGCGATGCAGGTGTAGGCGCCAGTGTATTCTGTGCCCACGTCCATCAAGATGAGGCTGTGCTGGCGCCCCGAGCTGGCTATTTTGTATCCTTTGGTATCGGGCTTGATCCACAGGACATCCTCCACCGATTCCTCCTTCAGCCAGGAGACCATCGGAGCGGGGGAGCCTGAAAAAGTCACGGGGAGTTTTGAGAATGTTCCACGAGACATAAAACTTTCCCCGAGGGTTCAAAGGATGTCAAAACTGTCACGCTGTACACAACGAACCTTCTACTTTGACAGACAGAGTGATGCTGGCTCCTTGTTTCACCTTCCTGTTGCTGAACCTTTCCAGGAAGCGAGGTGGCACTAGAGGCACCTTGGGGTCTGGAAAAGAATCACTTATAACAACTTATAACACCAACTAGAGTAACTCTCCCGGGTTTGTCTGATGAATTACCTCTTTTATCTTGTGGCATAATCTCCCCCGGACCTGCAAAATATTGTTGCATCAGTATCTAAACTGCCTTTTTTTTGCCTCATTTGGAAATACGGTATGTTTGCATACATACTCAGAACTACCAGGCGGGCGGAGGAGTAAGCGGAGCCCGCTGCGTTGCTGATGTACGCAGAGTACTCCCCCATGTCCTCTTTCTTCACCTCCAGGATCTCCACGGCATGAACGTCTCTCTCTGCCAGCAGCAGAATCCTCCCTGAAGATCGCAGAGGGTGGCCATCTTTGAACCAGTATATTCTGGGTTTAGGGAAGCCTGGAAGAAAACAGAAGTTTCAGAAACGAACGACATTTAGTTAGTCGCAGGTGGGGTTTTTTTTACGGTTACAATTAGATGTTGATCTGTTTCCTCGGATGAATTGAATGTTGGCACTGGTTGCTAAACATACCCTTCACTTTGAGCTGCATCTTAGCAACGGGTGAACCTGGACTGACGTGAACATCGTGAAGCTCGTCCACAACCTGTGGTAACTGATCATCTTCGGCTACGGACTCGAATGTCTCGGTTTCCCTGGAGAGGAAGAGTTCTGTATTTATTGACTTTACACCAAATATTTGTAGACACCACATAGAACCCCGTTCTCAGTAAAATCACCTGGACATGTAGCCCCTGGCACTGACATAGGAAGACGTCTCCGTGGCATCAGCAGCCGTGTCATAATCCGAGCTGCACGACACTGATGGAACAGATTCATTTCCAGCATTAAACATTCATCAGTGACGATAAATAGGGACACGGTGCCACATTTGATTGTCTTTTATCTCCTGTATCAATGTTGACCCCCCCAAAAAACAAAAGGGAATTGAATTTTCTCACTGTCGACCCTGAGTTCGGCCTTGGTGGCCGCGATGCCGCTGCTGTTTTCAGCTGTGCAGCGATAGACGCCCATGTCGGTGGGCAGCACGGCGGTAATGATGAGTTGGTGGCAGCCCTCCTGGTCCTCGTTGATCATGTAATGGTCGTTCTCCGCCAGCAATTTGCCGTCTTTGTACCAGCGAACGGCGGGGGTGGGCTTTCCGATCACAACGCAGTCAAAGCTGACTGGGTAACCGTCCGGGACATCCTGACTTTGTAGCTCCGTCAAGAACACCGGGGCAGCTGGGTGACGAGAGAAAACAGACCTTTTGTTTCACATATATGTTTATCTAAAAAAACGGTACGTGCGTTTTTCCGTAATTAAAAGATGCCTAACCAGTAAACTTAAAAGCAAAAGCAGAACTTCATGTGAATTGTTCAGAAGTGGCTTTCTTCCTTTGTTTGATGGGAATTTGTTTATTTAATTATACATAGTTATATTGCGTGTTTAAGTGTAAACAAACGGTCTATTGATCTGAACAGCAGCTTCCAAGCTTTTCTCACCTTGAGCTCCGGCCATGAATGCAGGAGGCTGTCGTTCCTGTGTGGGGGTCTGTGTGCCGTCTTGTGTGTAGCCCATCTTTCTAATTCGCAGCTCCACTTTGAGAGGCCCCGCCTCCAGGATGGTGGTCTCCACGGGAACGCCGTGGACCGTAAACATCTCCATGAACCTCTTCGAGGCGACCTCGGCCTCCGTCCGCGAGTCGAAGCGAATGTAAATGTAACTGTCGTCCTCTCTGTAAGAGTGCGGGTCCGGGTGGCCAAGGTCCCCTTCGTCTGCGCTGACAAACGGTTCTTCTTCGACGTCCGGGGGCAGACGCGTGCGCAGCAGGCGCCGCAGACGTCTGCTCGCCTGCCTCAGCGAGTCGTCCATCTCACTTCCCGAGGAGCTCTCCGGCTCGCTGTCGGCGCTGTAGCCCACGGTCAGCGGCCGTCGGGCGGACGTTTCTCTCTCCGTTCCTACCGTGACCTTACCGCTGTGGGAGGTGACTCCAAACCTGTTGGTGACCTCACAGGAGTAGACGCCAGTGTCCTTTGTGGTGATGGCGGTGATGACCAGAGAGCAGGTGCCATCGTTGTAGATATCAATGTGGTGGTGCTTGCCATCCTGCAGCGGTTCTCCGTCCTTCAGCCAGCGCATCTTATCGGGTTTACCTTCAGCCACACATTCTAGATGAATGGTGCCGTTGGGTTCTTTAGTCTGGTCTTTGAAGCCGTCTTTGAAGACAGGTCGCATGTCCCTGCGGGCCTTGTAGCCCTTGAAGGCGGCTTGAATCTTAATGGCGGCGTCTCTGAGCTCAGGCTCATCCTCTTTGCTGATCTCCATGCTGTCCGCCTCCTTTGCCGGCACCTGTTGTCCGTCCGTCTGCTGAATCGTGGTTGTTTCAACGCTAGTATGCTGCACTGTTCTCTGCTCTGCCATCTTGAAATGTTCAAAGAACCTCTCAGTGGTCATAGGTCCCGACTCGCTGGTCGCTGTGACAGAAGCCGTGCTGCTCTTCTTGAGGTAGGAGACGAGCGTTGAACCACCAGCAACAGACACGTCCCCGGAGCTGGAGGACACCTTGGACTCCGTCTGCTTCTTGGACACGGTGACCTGCGCTTGCTCTTCTGATTTTATTTCCACTTTCTCAACGGACTTCAAATCTTTCTGCGCGGATTTCTTTTGACCACCGACGACCTCCTCCGGTTGTTCAGTGATGGAGTCCAGAGTCGGCTCTCGGCTCATGCGGCGTTTCTTGGCCGATTCCTCCCACAGCTCGTGCACATCACCTTCTTCAGCAGCTTCTGGAGGCAGACTGGGTTGGCCCATCATCTCACTTTCTTCCTGTTTTGCCTTTGTACCTATAACCACAATTAAGTGTTCAGTGTCACTTTGTTGTTAACACAGAAAATCTGTGGAGTTGTCCAAACATGACAACAAAATAACATAAGACAACAAGGTACCTCCATCTTTGGTACCAATGCTGAAGTCAACCTTGTGCCTTTAGCAATTAACGTCACCACTCACCAAGCTGCACAGTCTGCGGCAGCTCGACAGGCTCCCCAATCCCGGCTCGGTTGATGGCTGCCACCCTGAACCTGTAGCCACTCCCCGGCGTGAGGTTTTCAACCACAAACTCTGTGTTGCACACGGGTTCAGAGTGAGATGGAAGCCACAGGGAACTGTCTGCCAGCCGCATCTCCACCCTGTAGCCCAGAATGGGACTCCCTCCGTCGTGTAAAGGAGTGAACCAAGAGAGAACCACAGACTTTTCAGTTTTATTGAGGACCTCCGGGTCCTCTGGAGGATCAGGTACGGCTGTTGAGAAGGAGAACAGCAGGCGTTATATCCTTCAATAAAAATGTCATACTGTGTCTACAGTATTCTACTCACGCAAGGTGCATAACTGGCACATATTAGCAGGTGGAATAATTAAGTTAGGTTACGTGATTTGCTCCAAACGCTTACTGATAATGTTGAGCTTGGCCAAAGAGAGAGCATCTCTTGCAGCAAATGTAATCTCCTGCGGTGGCAAAAGAGGTGCCCGTCTCAGGACAAGTCGATAGGAGCAGCCGTCGGCCCTCGTGGCCCAGAGGTCACTGGGCTTGATCTCGACGCCATTTGCGTACCAGGCCACTTCGGCCATAGGGACGGGCTCAGTGAGCTCAACGCAAAACTCAACCTTCTCCCCCACCGCAGCCACCTTGTCCTCCAGGGGCTTCACCACATCCAGCTGCCAACCTTATAGGAAGAAAATAGGCACAATTAAATGCAGGTTTGTTACATCACAACTCCATTATCCAGTCCTAACAAAGCCATGAATGCAACAACGATTTGAGGCGTTCCGCTGGATGACTCACGCTTGACGCAGAGTTGAGCGGATGAAGATGCCGCGCAGGCTTTGAACGTCACTGTGCAACTGTCTTTCACTCTCAACTCTTTCAGCAGCAGCAGATGACGAAGACCACTCTCAAATGTCACAATTTCAGCATTGGGGGACTCCTTAACTGGTTTGCCATCGAGGAGCCAGTGGCAATCTTTGCTCTCGGGACGAGAGAGGGCACACTCGAACAGCGCTTCACCTCCATCAAAGGTTTCTACATTCTCCAGGCCCTGCACGATGTCAATGGGTTTGCCTGGACAGAAAACAATTGGAAAAGAAAGAAGAAAAAGAAAGCCTGATTAAAAAAAAAGAAGGATTTGAAGAAATAATGTTAAATAATGTGGCATTCGTCAACAAAGGGCACATTGTTTATGCTGATTACTAACAGATCAGTTCATGTGGCCACATATAGCAAGTGTGCAGCTTAACAGAGCAGAGGAGACTCCCTGGAGGTTGGTGCTTTTTCCATGTGGAGGGAAGCTCACCTTCCACGTAAAGTGAAGCGACCGAGCAGGTCTCCCCCGCCTCACAGGAGTATGTGCCCCGGTCCTCGGCGGACACACGGCTAATGTACAAGCGCGCCACATTCCAGTCCTCCTCCACTAACACCCTGCGGCCATCAGGCTGCAATGGCCGCCCGTCTTTTTTCCACTGAGCCTTGACCGGCCTTGAGTACTGGCAGACGAACTCAGCCGGTTGGTTCTCAAGCACCCGAAGGTCCTCCATCTCGCTCACCACTTCAACTGTGGGATCTGAGGTTGGGGGCAGGGGTCATAGGGTCAGGGCTTGGCCATTCGATATAAGGATAAGAGACGGCTATGGAGAATGATATATGAGCTTTATAACCCCCTACAGGTCATTCATATGTGAGTGATATTGTTGTGATTTTTTGGATTGTTCAGTACAAATTGTCTTCTTCTTAATCTTATATGTTGAAGAGTAAGACGCTGCCTTACAATGTATTTTACTGTCCATTGTGACTGCTCTATTTTATTATAGAACTGAGTAGACAGAGGGTCAAAAAGCCCAACCATCAATTTTGAGGTTAATGGTCACAATCACGGCAGCTGATGCGGGACGGGGGGCCTGAAATACCAAACATAGTTAGGTGTAAGCGGTTTTAGTGCTTGACGGTTAGGGGCAGGGCCTGGCGGGATGGGATGGTGGAGGTAAACATGAGTATACAACAGCAGCCGGTAAGCATGGACGGGTGGAGCACCTTCCTAACACTGCCCATTAAACCATCCCGATCGTGCTACTCGGAGAAGGCGTGGTCAACCAACGACTTGAGGGATCCACATCACAGAAGTCTCCAGCGTGCAGTGGTCAACACAGTGCTGCCAGCAGCGGAGGTCACTTCCACGGCGTAGTTACAAGATGAAGGTAAAGAGGATCCCCTCATTTTTTGAGGTGGGTTCCGTTGTGGATGGATTGCAACTTAAGAGGCCATGTAAGTCAACAAAAGTACAATACTTCATCCACAGTGACCAGGAAAACAGCAGGGAGGCGTCAGAGACGTCGGTCAAGAAGCAGCGGCTCCCAGCTGCTAATCTCAACAGTGCAGATGTTGTATAGCCACCAATGTTGCAAATGTAAAGTCACTGCATGAAGGCAAGTAGATGTCCATGTATATGCTATAGCTGCTCATCCCTGAAGGGTTTCTGGAGAGCTGAACGGTTGCTAATCAATCACAGTCAAATCACCAAATCCACACGTTTACGCAATTTAGAGTCACCAAATGACCTAACCTGCATATCTTTGTAATGTGGAAGGAAACCCCTGCAGCTTCAAGGAGGACAAGCCAACTGCACAAAGACAGTTTTGGTTTTCAAACTGCTTTGCTCTCCAAACAATTTGGAACCTTTTTGAGTAACGATTGTGATTTCAAAAGTGAGAAACACGGATCGTGATCATCATTGATTTAGGACGCGGCCCAACAAACAGCACATAGGAAGGACTCACAAAGATTCACCGGACATCTGACCTCCGGTCGGTTGAGTCCTTGGAGGAGTACTCAAATGAAACTGTTGCTGTGATGCTGCACCCAGAGGTACGTTTTGGTCGCATCAAAGCATCTATCTACTGCATTATTATTAATGGAGCGAGAAACAATGCTGCTCATGCATGATGAAGCACAGAAATGTGAAATGTATCTATTCATGTAATCAAATAATTCACGTTATAGTTACTTGTTCTTTACAAAGAATTTGTTCACATATAAATTGGTTAATGGGAGTAATTACGTAGTAAGCAGAGATATTTTCATACGCGTAATACATAATATAATATATCTAAGTCAAATAGCACGTTGTGAAGCCAAACACAATGTATTGTAAATAAGCTCTAAATAAAGTTCCTGAGATTTTGAATGTATAATCACAGATCTGCAGGCTGTGCCGCTAAGAAGGAGTATCTTCACAGGGTGATACCTTTGACTAAGAGCTTGGCTGTTGACGTTAAATTGCCCGCTTTGAACGTGACAGCGCCAGAGTCGTCTGTGGCCAGGTCCTTTAAGGTGAGCGTGTGGATGTGTCCTTGGCTCAGCTCTATCTCACTAAAGGCGCTGTTCTCCAACAAGGTGCCATCTAGCCACCACTGCACCTGGCCAGGTGCCCTACCAGACAGCTGGCAGGAGAAAGTTGCCCACTCCCCAACAAAGACATCGACGGTCTTAAGACCGCACACTATGAAGACTTCTTTCACTGTTGGGTGAAAAGATACACATATGCATACACTGAGGATCTAACGTACTCGTTGTCAGCAACATATGAACAAAAACAGAAACGTAACATTAAAGACATTCACGGTAAATCAACATTCAGACGTAGGTCCAAAAAAAAAACCTATAGGATACCGTCAGAATGAAACAAGTCAGCCTTAAGAAAAGGTGAAGATAGATAAAAACAATATTGAAATAGGCTACCTTGCACTGCCAAAGAAGATGTGGTTAGCTGGTCTCCTGCATCGCAGGTGTAGTAACCACTGTCCTCGGGCTCCAGGTTCCGCAACAAGAGCTCTTGAATGCAACCTTCCTGCCTCATTTCACACTTCATACCGGGCTGGAGGACTATGCCTCCTTTCCTCCACTCAACGCGGACACCTGGCTTAGATAGCTCGCAGCGCAAGGTGACATCATCGCCCTCCACGGCGTCCAGGTTCTTCAGCTCCTTGTGGAAGAACACTGGGGCACCTGGTCAGAGTTTAAAATGGGACATATTGGCATCAGGTTGTGATGATGAGGGATGTGAGGATGTGGGATGAAAAGACAAACTCCTCTTTGGACAAAGGTGAAGGGATGCCGGAATAGGTTTGTGGTTGAGGGAAGCGGAGGTTCAAGAATTGTGGCCAACAGAGAAACTATTTGTTTTTTTTATAGGTGGTGTCGCTCTTTACCTTCCACAGTCAAGCTGACGTCACACTGTGCATCTCCTGTGTCACAAGTGTACGTCCCCGAGTCCTCGGGTACCGGGTTGTGGATACAAAGCTGGTGGAGTGCTCCGTTGCTCCTCAGGTCATACTTGAGACCTGCTCGGATGGCCACCTTGTTTCTGATCCAGGTAACAGTGGCCTTGGCGTCGGAGACGGTGCAGGCCAGAGTGACCATTTCCCCCTCTAGTGCCACAGTGTCGAGTGGCTTCTCTAGTATTAGCACTGTAAATATGGGAAACCCAAAACTAGATTAGTAATCATCGCATTTACGTGAAGTTTTTCTGTTTCCCTTCCTTTACATTCCTGTAATGAATCACTTTCAAGCTGTGCTGTAACCATGAATACAAGCATGCAGTGACTATTAAATGCTGTCGCACATTTCACAGCATGAATACACTTAAACTTAAAAGGACGTTAAGTATTTAACTGTAGCATTTAATCAGCGTTCCAATGTAAGTGGTTTATCTCCTCAAGTCAAAATATTCATGTTAACATTTATTGCAAAAACTACAGGAAAAGAATAGAAAACCCGTAGGCGAGGATGTTAAAGAGGTGCCAGCGTGTTTTCGTTTGCTGAGGCAAAGCCATTTGGTGGTTGATGGAGATGGACGTGAGGAGTATAACTCTTTGGTGACCATGTCATCTACCTTTGGGTTTCTCCTCCACCAGAAGACAAGCCACGCTCTTCTCTTGTCCCACTACAAAGGCAACATCTCCGGATTCATCTGTGGTCACCATCTTCAGGACCAGGCGGTGCACTTTGCCCTGGCAGCTCATTTGATTCAGGTCGTTATTTTGGAGGAGGTTTTCTCCCAGCCACCATTCTCCGTTTGTCACATCTGAATGAGACAACTCCACCTCAAAGACGGCGTCCTGCCCGGTGGCCACGGTCATATCCCGGAGCTCCCGGACGAGGCGCACATGCTCTGAGGGTGAATGGCATGCTGGGAAATCAGGGACCAGATCTCTTGACCTCCCGGACGGCCTACGTCACATTTTGTTTCCATAGCCCATAATGTAATTTCAATATTTTTATATAAATGCCTCGGTAGCTCAACATAGTATGATTAATTATGAGAAACAGAGATGAGAAGAAGCTGTGCTCTGTTACCTTTCACAGTCAGGGTCGCTGTCGTCTTCTTTTCTCCTGTATCACAGGTATATTCTCCGCTGTCCTTCGCGTTCAGCTTGCGTATGAGCAGGCTGTGAGTGGCAGCTCTCTGCTCCATGGAGAACTTCTCTCCAGCGGTGAGCACAGACGAGCCCTTCGTCCAGATCACCCTGCAGTCGGGGCTGGATGTCTCACAGGACAGGGTGGCCTCGTCTCCTTCAACGGCCTTTTGGCTTTCCAGCTCCTTCGTGAATACAACAGGTGCGGCTGCCAGAAAGACCATTATCAATTAGGAGGAATCATTTCAAATGGTCTCTTGGGTAAACCACCGTTCTGCCAATTCTATACCAACAAGAAGCTTAAAATGGAGTATAACAAGAACGGCGGAGTCACTGGTTTGTTTGCATCACCAGGACAACACAACAACACAGCATCTGGATTTTTGAATCCTATTCAATTATTGAGTGAAAGTCTGTGCAGCGCGTCCAGCTATTTTAATAATCTATACAGCTGTGGAGGGATGAAATCTTGCTGTGCATAAGGACACATTTTAATCAATGTGACCATTAAGGAATTTAAATTCTACAATGTCACGCACCAACCGCCAAGACAAATTCCTTGTATGTTTGACATATTTTGGCAATAAATGTTTCCTGATTCGTGAAAAGTGCTAGTTCAAGAAGACTGAATATGCATATAAGACAAATACAAAATTGGGATAAATGAATGGATACCAAGTCAGTAGGAAGTGAAAAGAAAAAGAGAGGTTAAGGAAATCCCAAGCATCCATGTCAGAGCTTGCTTGTTGAAAAGACAGAGGGGTTTGTCCCTCGAGGAGGTTGATAGAGACAATTTGACAGTCAAAATGTTACTGGAAAAGCAAAATGGCGAGTGTTCATTGTCATCCAGAGAGATAAAATGCATTTCCCTTACCTCTGACTGTCAGAGAAGCGGTGGAGGTGTGGTTACCCACTGTGAAAGTGACCGTTCCTGAGTCAGCTGCGGTGACCCCTCTGAGTGTGAGGCTGTGTACCAGACCCTCAGACCTGATCAGGTTCATTTCATTACTCTGTAGCGGGACGTCCTGGAGCTTCCACTGAGCCAGAGGCGCGTCCTCGCGAGAAACCCTGCATTCAAAGCGAACGTCCTCTCCCTCGTACACAACGCAGCTCTCCAAGAATTTCAGTATGCTAACCTCCACCTCTGTTTGACAAATACATTTCAGCAGAACAGTTACATATTTGTTTGACCTTTATCACAGATATATAGTTCGAGTTGAGCGGATTGTGATCAAAGTGTGATTACATACATAAAGATGGAAAAGAGGAAGGTAAAAACGTTAGTAGCAAGTGAAGAAAAACCGTAACGGGTGTGTTAATGTTTGTGAAAAGAGTCCAGAGAGGCACCAAGGAGGAGGGAGAGGTGAAGGACCAAGCTCAACAGAGAGGCTTTGAAAAGGGTGAAGAGCAGGAACACACGTGGGATGAGAAAGAATAGCAGTCAAGAAGACAGCAAACGGGATTTCAAGATGAAAGGTTGATGCGTTTCATGCTCAAGTATTGGACTGATGCAGGAAGAGAGGAAAGACTTTCCTCCAGGGGACAGTTAAAAGGACAGACTCAAATAGACAGCTCCTACCCTGCACGGTGAGGACGGCTGAAGTCCTCTGGTAGCCCGTATCACAGGAGTATTCGCCGGAGTCAGCTGTCTGCAGCCTGTAGATGAAGAGTTCCACTGTGGTTCCTTCCTGTCTCAGGTGATACTTGCTGCTGGGCGCCAGCGTCCTGTCCCCACACCTCCAGACCACACTGGCTCCCGGCTTTGTGGTCTCACAGCGAAGACTGGCGCCCTCCCCTTCCTCTCTTTCAAGGTTTTGCAGCTGGGTTTTGAAAAGCACCGGCTGGGCTGCAGGGGACGAGGTGGACCAGATGGCATTCAGGAGAACCGAGAGAAACCCGGGACAAAGTGCAGCCCGCCACATACGCAGACTGCTCTGACTACAGACACTAGGTCATCGCGGTCAGTGAAAGAAGTGCCTCATCACTATTTACCTTTTTTTAAAACACACGTTCAATAGTTTTAGCAAGCATACCCTTCACGTCCACTTGTGCACTGCTACGATGGACACCGGTGTCACATGTGTAGCTGCCGGCATCCTCTCGGTCTACATCGTGGATCACCAGTGAAGCCTGATGCGCCGATTGTCTAATTTCGTACTTTGCACAAGGACAAAGGCCGAGCTCTCCTTTCCTCCACTCCAGAGGAACACCGGGCTTAGAAAGCTCACAGTGCAGGGTCACACTGCCCCCCTCATCAGCCATTTGGCTTTCAAGTTCTTTAATGAAAATTACCGGGGCAGCTGATGAAGTAAAAGGGAGGGAGGGGGTGAACGATTTGTATCTACAGCACAAGGTCGAGAAGAATGAGCGAGGTGAGAAGAGACAATGACACGGTCTCCATCCTACCGTTCACTACTACAGAGGCGGAGCACAGTGTCTCCTCTGAACAGCAGGCGTAGCTTCCCGTGTCCTCGAGTCTTACGTCGAAGATCTGTAGCTCATAAGTGAATCCCATTTGTTTCATGTGGTACTTTTCTCCACAACTCAGTACTTGAGTTCCTCTCTTCCACTGGACGGGGAGTCGCGGTTTAGAAAGCTCACAGTGCAGAGTGACAATGTTTCCCTCCTCTGCCTCTTGGCTCTCCAGGTCTCGAACGACCGTGACTGGAAGAACTGCGGAGAGGATCAACCAGGTGAGACGTCGGTGTGTTGTTGTAAACGCAGGTTTCAGGATTCCCAGATGAAGATCACAGTATGCAGTGTAAAAATGAATTCTTAATTTTCAACTTACCCGACTGAGGTTAAACAAGCAAAAATGACATGTAATTAATTAAATTAGACCAAGAAATATTTACTGTTTCAAAAAATAGCAGCATAAATTCACAAAAGCAGCAAACCATGTTTCCGAACTGATAAATTACACACAAACATCCCCACTGACAATAATGAGAAAACGCTCTAGGATGGATTGACTATAAAGCTAATTGCCAATACGCAATATCAACAAGAACAAATGTGCCAGACTATTTGCAAAATCCCCAAGACACAAGGATGTTATGTCCTATGTCTGTAGCATCTATCAGCATGTGCTGCTTAATGTTTGATTACAAAGCTATGTGTTCAACACAGTGAGTAATTAACAATGCACCCGGGCCAAAAACAAAGAATTACCATCTACATTTATCTCTTGCCTCATGTATTTGCCTTAAGCAGCAGCCGTGGCTGAGATACAAATTCCGACATAGAAATAAGTACCATGTCAGCAAGCAGTGACCCTGCCAGGCCTTCAGAATCTAATATGAACAACCGAGCACAGCCCACTTGTCAAAGACAATAAATCTGCCCCATACAAGCTCATTAAGCTCATGTAGATGCTTTAAATAAGCCGGTACTGCAATACAACACTGAGGAAAAATACCAACATTGAAATTGCAAAACAAGATACTACTACAGGACGGAAGGAACGTGTGACACAGCATGGACACACACAAACACACATCTGCAACCTGAAAGATCCGATAAGCGAGTGAGAAATAATGATGAGGCAAGAACACACTTGTCACGACCTATAAAGGCCAAAAAGTACAGGACTGATTTTAGGGGAGGTCGCGCACGGCAACATTAAGAGCATTGTCAAGATGGACGGGAATAAAAAAGTGATGGAAAATCCAGGCAAAGATATCCAACTTTTTGGAAGGAATCTGATATCAGACACCCACAGCGCATGCTGACATTTTGCGAGCAGGCAAACAGAAATAAGACAGATATTCCACAACAAAAGCAAATGACTGATTACAAGTGTTTCAGTAAGAATCAAACACAACATTTCTCTTGTTAAATCCACACTCAAAGGGATCAATGGATTGTCACAAAGACACAGCTTTATTAATATACCGTAGAGTTTTAAATCATAAATTCTCCTACCGTTGATCTTGATGCTAGCTGAGGTCTTCTGGTCTCCACACACACAGCTGTAGTCTCCACTGTCTTCTGGCTCCACCTTATTGATGAGGAGTTCATTGACACAGGCCTTCTGCTTCATCTGGTACATCTCTCCAGACTTCAGGGTCTCAGTTCCCTTCTTCCACTCTACAGGTACTCCAGGTTTAGACAGCTCACAACGCAGAGTCACACTGGCTCCCTCCTCGGCCTCCTGGCTCTCAAGCTTCTGGACGTAGTTCGGCGGCAATGCTGTTAAACCAAGGTTTCATTTCATGTCAAAACAGGTGAACTAAATAGTAAATAAAAGGTACAGAAAAGTAAGTTGTTTTGTATATACAAGATAAAACGCTTTCCAATAAAAGCTAGTTAATTCGTACCGTTGACTTTAACAGTTGCAGATGTCTTCTGGTCCCCACACGTGCAATAATACTCTCCACTATCTTCAACCTCTAAATTCTTAATCTGAAGCTCACAAGAAGTCTCCTCCTGCTTCATGTCATACTTTCCTCCAGATTTCAGAATTTCAGAGCCCTTTTTCCATTGAACACAATTAGCGGGTTTCGATAACTTGCAGCAAAGTGTCACAGACTCTCCCTCCTTCTTCTCCTGGTTGTTGAGCTTCTCCTTAAAATTTGCCGGCGGGGCTAAAATAGAATGAGATTGTAGAAAACAGGGTGCTTTTTTGTTGGTGTGTTGGATGTCATGCAGGGTGGAAAATGATTGAAGGGGAAAAATGATGCATGAGTCGTGGTGTTCCAGTCATCCAACGGTTGGGCTGGTGTTCCTTTTGAAGAAGGTTTACCGACAACAGCGCGCTTTATCCAAAAAACAGCACAACCTGATGCACGGTACTTACCGTCCACGGTCACCTTTGCCATGCTCTTGGCGGTGCCCACGTCACAAGTGTAGATATCGGTGTCTTCCACCTCCAGGTGTTTGATGGTGAGAGTAAGGATCTCCCCCTTCTGGGACATCTCATATCGACCCCCCGCCGTGAGTTCTGCGTGGCCTTTAAGCCAGGTCACAGCGGATGCGGTTTGTGCGGTCTGGCATTGCAAGGTCAGGGAGCTCTTCTCCTCGGCCCGGCTGTCCATAAGAGCTTTAGTGAATTTATGGATTGGCTCTGCAAGGTAAATGACCAAAAAGAATAAATAAATATAAAAGACACAGTATGAGATTGTTGGACTGATGTACGATCAGAAAATAAGATCATATCAGAAATGATTCTACATTTAGTCACATATGTTGACCAGCTTTTTCTACCACAATCTCTCAAAAACAGTTGTCATAAATGGCTTTGAACGGTGTAATGCTATTAAAGAGGGAAAATGCAGTATAAATATAAGTAAGTATAAGTAAGTATAAATATGTGATTTTCGGTGATACCCCTGATTTCCAGCTTGGCTTTAGTGGTTGCTCCTCCCACAACTTCACAACTGTACTCTCCCGAGTCTTGAGCCGAGACGTTACGGACGGTCAGCTTCAGGATTTTCTCCTCTTGGCAAATGTCGTACTTTTGGCTCTTTTTGATGGCTTTGCTTTCCTTGGCCCACTTTACGGTGGAATTAGACTGCGTCAGCTCACAGGTAAATACGGCGTCTTCGCCTTGAACAGCACTAACGTTCTGCAGTTCTTTAGACACATACGCAGCTCGACCTGCAAAAGGAGATCCTGACATTTTCATTTTGATCGAATAAAATATCTAAAATGCTATTTTTAGACTTCCTAAATATGTAGCTTGCCTTCAACCGTCAATGTTGTTTTGGAGCTCAGGTCTTTGATGTTGAAGACCACCTCGCCAGCATCGGCAGGAACGACATCCTTGACGGTCAGCATGTACTTGCGTCCTTTACTGGTGACATTGAAGCGTCCTCCGTTTGTGACGGTGTGGCCATTAAGAGTCCAGGAACACTCGTCTGTGCTCTCACGAGATAATATGCACTCAAAGCTACACGAGTCCCCTTCATTCACCTCAGCTGACTTCAGCCATTTGGTAATTCCGATGCCGAGCTCTAAATTCGGGGTGGAAAGCGAAAATTGGTTACGATATGAAACTAGAGTGTGTGTGTAAAGGCTAACACTGTAAAACCTCAAACAACAGTACCGACCTCTTACAGTGACCTTGGCTTTAGAAACCTCAGTTCCAAGATCACAGCTATACTCTCCGGCATCTTCTTTGGTGACGTCCTTGATGATCAGCCCCAAAGACCTGCCGGTGTGAAGGAGCTCATACTTTGACCCAGCCTTCAAGACTTGGCCCTCTTTTCTCCATGTGGGAGAAACCCTTGGCTTGGAGGCCTCGCACGCCAGAGTTATCATGCCTTTCTCCTCCCCTATGACGTCATCTAGAGACTTGAGGAACACAGCGCGCTTCTCTGGAGGGGGAAAAGGACACGAAGCCACTTTGACAGCATTCATGCAGCGACGATTAGTGGTGTGTTTCCATGCTGGTTCTCCAGTTCTTACCTTTAACCTGTAGCGTCACAGACTCTTTCACTTTGCGGACTTTAAAGGCGATGGTCCCTCCGTCCTGAGGGGCCAGGTTCTTCAGGGTGAGCCTGTGAACCTTTCCGTCGTGGGCGATGGCGTTGACCTCGTTGGTGAAGAGCACCTTGTCATTCAGAAGCCACTGCACCTCTTCATCTGCGTAGTTAATCTCACAGGTGAACACTGCGTCGTTGTCTTCGTCGACCTCCGTGTCCGCCAAGTGCTTGGTGATCTTAATGTCCCGCACTGGACATGGGGAACATGATTCAATTCGATTCTGATGCAAATTGCTTATGTGATGGTTTTTAGAAGAAAAGGTGGCGGTCCATACTTTACCTTCAACAGTGAGTGTCCCTCTGGTCTCAGCAGGTCCAGACTGACAGCGGTACTCTCCGCTGTCTTCCTCTGTTAACCTTTGAATGGTAAGCTGAGCCCTTGTAGCGTCTCCCTTTATGTTATACTTGTCTGACGCTGACAGAGGTACCTGACCTCTGAACCAATTGACCTCTTTGGGTGCGGCAGAGAACTTGCAGGTGAGAATAGCAGAGCTTTTCTCCTTTGCCTTCACGTCTTTGATGGGCTCTGCTATCTCAAGCGGACGCTCTGAATGTGAGGAAGAACATGTGATCAGACGCAACAGAATTATGCAGATCGTGGCTACTCTAGCGCTAACTGCTGCATCGGGGAGATTTACCTTTGACTGCGAGCTGAGCTAAAGACTTGCTCTTCCCAGCTGTGAACTGCACAGGTCCGCTCATTGATGCTTTGGTCTTTTTGAAAGTGAGACGGTGCATAGTTCCCTCTTTCTCCATTTCCACGTCAGCGCTCTCCTGCACAGGTACTCCATTCAGAGTCCATATAGGAGGTTTCACCAGCTCCATGCTGATTTCAACCTCAAAAACAGCTGCAAAGGGTTCTGTCACCTCCACCGAACTGAGCTCCCGCACAATGCTGATCGACTGCTCTGCAGGGGGCATTAAAAAATACTACTTGGATTGACCGAAAACACATGGACCAAAGCAACGGCAGTAGGGATACAGTTTTGTCTATTTCTTGCCTACGGAATTTGAAATACCAATTACTATTGAACATTCATTTTAGTATTTAGTAGGTCATGCTTGTCCCGAAATGACCAAACGGTGGATGTATAGATGGATGAATAGATAGATAGATGGATGGATGGATAGATGGATGAATAAATAGATGGATGGATGGATAAATAAATAGATGGATGGATGGATGAATAGATGGATGAATAAATAGATGGATGGATGGATGAATACATAGATGGATGGATGAATAGATGGATGAATAAATAGATGGATGGATGGATGAATACATAGATGGATGGATGAATAAATACATAGATAGATGGATGAATGGATGGATGAATAAATAGATAGACGGATGGATGGATAGATGGATGAATAGATAGATAGATGGATGGATGGATGAATAAATAGATAGACGGATGGATGAATAAATAGATGGATGAATGGATAGATGGATGAATAAATAGATGGATGGATGGATAGATAGATGGATGAATAAATAGATGGATGGATGGATAGATGGATGAATAAATAGGTGGATGGATGGATAGATGGATGAATAAATAGATGGATGGATGGATAGATGGATGAATAAATAGATGGATGGATGGATAGATAGATGGATGGATGAATAAATAGATGGATGGATGGATAGATGGATGAATAAATAGATGGATGGATACCTCATTGACCAGGAGTCTGATGGCTTGCTACATGTATACAAAGTAAAATACACGACACCCCACAATTGAACCCTGACAGGCTTAGAATCAGTGCATGTCATCTCCCATGATGTTACCTTCTACAAGTAGTTTACAGCTTGTCTTGTCATCAGCACCGTCACAGGTGTAGGTGTCCTCGTCCCCTGAGTCTACATCATTGATGATGAGTTTCCGGTACACATCTTCAGCTTTGATCTCGTACTTCTTGCCGTGTTTGATCTCCAGCTTGTTCTTGTACCACTTCACCGTGGCGCTGGCACGAGACACTTGGCATTCGAGGTGGCCACGGTGCTTGAACATCGCTATCTTATCCCTGAGTCTCTTCACAAACTTCACGGGCAGCTCTACAGTAACATGGACACTGAATCAATTAACCCTATCGTGGTTGCCACAAGACGAATTGCTAATAATGCAAAATCCCTGCCAGCGCCCTTGACCAAGCAAATAATAAGAAATACTGTAATTGATCCTAATGTCTTGCAGTCAAAGCTAACATAGCTACTATTTTCTTGCCAAAGCTAAAGCTGACCAGAATTGAAATGGCATTACGTTAAATAGGAATTACAGCGTGCCAGTCAATCTTCATACAGAGAGACAGACTGACAGACGCTATGAATGTTGCTGCAACTTATGGCAGAATGAGAGCAATTGCATCTGTCACAGATTGACTCTTTCTGCTTCTCCAATAATCAAATAATAATCAAATGTCCAAAGCCACTAAAACAATATGTTCTCTGTAGACCATTGCACCAACTTTCAATCAGGACTGACAGCTTTCACAAAACCTCTTGAAAATAAACACCATACGAGTGGTTTTTCCTTTTGCCATCAGGCCTCAATGAGGCATAACAATGTTCATGGGGATTGCAAGGAGAACTTTCATCTTTCTAATATGGTCAGGAATGGTGCATTTTACATGCATACTTCTGTAAAGCATAATCATTTGTTTATTTTAGAGAAAAATAAGGTTTAAAGTATCCAGGGATACCACATTTTTTGCACAGCTTTTGTCAAGACGAATAAAAATAATCCGCTTGCAACCACTTCTGAACATTGTCACTTAAGGGTTAGCTAATGTGAGGAAACGCACATGAATTCCTTACACTAATCCATGCAGCAATGAGGTGCACGCACGTCGACTCGTTTACCTTTCACTCTCAGTTTTGCAGTTGAGGAGGCTTTGTCAGCTGTGAATTTAATCTCACCCATATCTTCTGTGGTGACGGCCTTAAACAGCAGCGTATAGGTTTTCCCTGGAACAACAAGTTGACGGCTTGTGGATGTTGGTCATCTCATAGAAGGTTGCGTGAATGTACAGGTGAATACATCGGTGTTCGACCTTCTCGGCGACTCACCCTCTTGTCTCATCTTGATGTTGTCACTGACTTTGAGCTTGATACTTCCTTTGCACCACTGGTATTCCACTTCGTCGTGGGAGATTTCACAGACGAAGGCAGCACTCTCCTTCTCCATCACTTCAACATCCTCCAGCTTCTTAACAATCCTAATATCTCTGGCTGCAGGGGAAATCATTTTGAGACGTTTCTATCTGCTAGAAGTCATTATAATTTACCCTGAATAATGTGACCTGATTCAGTTGTGTGCTTCATGACAAGACTGATATTTACCCTGAACGGCGAGCGTGGCGGCCGTGTTGTCATCAGCGGTGCGACAGATGTAAGTTCCTGCATCTTCAGGGGCGCATTTGTTGATGACCAGAGTTCGCTTTCGGCCCAAGGAATGGATGCCAACATTCTTACCCGGTTTCACTTCCACATCACCCTGAAGATGAATCATTTTCCCAAACATTTATGTAATGCACATTTCACTTTCTAAGGCTTATTTCACACTGCCGGATAATAATCTCTCACCTTGAACCATTTAACATCTGCATTCGTTCTGGACACTTCGCAATCAAAAGTGACCTTCTCCTTCTCAGGAGTGCTGATATCAGTGAGGGGCTTGGAGATCACAGCGGGAGGTTCTGTAGAATCAACACACAGGTCGGTTAAACGGGGACGGCTGAGGGCCTCCGATCGGGTGACCAGCAGGAAGCAGCTCTCACCTGTGACGATCAGTTTGCTAGAACTGTGTACTCCTTCCGCTTGGAAGGCAATAGTTCCCGCATCCTCCCTCTTGAGATCAGACAACGTTAAGGCATGCTTCTTCCCCAGAGCGGTGATACGGCAGCTGGCCCCCGTCTTGAACTTGGCGCCATCCCTGGTCCAGGAGCCTTCAACATCGGCCTGACTCAGTTCTACCTCGAGAGTCACTGTCTCCGCCTCATGTGCCTTGGTTTCCGTTAGCCCCTTCAGAACCTCGATCTTCTTCACTGAAGGGAGGAAGACAAAATGCGTTAACATTGGCAACGTTGTTCTCGTTCATCACTTCAAATATATCTCCAAACATTACAGATATGTACTTAAATACTATAAAGTGTATCCTAAACTGTGCTGTTGTGTACTGGTCTTACTCTCCACATTGAGCTTGGCCTGGGTTTTGTCATCCAGAGTTTCACAGGAGTAGATGCCCCGGTCAGCGCACGTCACGCTCTTGAAGACCAGAGCCTGCTTAGCGCCGTCCACCCGAATCTCCATGTTTGCAGCAGATTGCAGCACTACGCTGTTCTTCATCCACCGCACTTCATCTGACGGCTTGCTGAGCTCCACCGCCAGCCTCACTTCACTCTGCTCCTCCGCTGTCAGGTTTTCTAGCTTTTTCTTGAATGTCACGGGCTCATCTAATTATGGCGTAAGGGGGAGAAGAGAAGTCAATGAGTACGTTACATTACTTATAACGTACTTAAAAATGATATTTTAAATGCATGATCTTACGCTGCACTTGAAGGGAAGCTTTGCAGTTTTTGCCTTCTGCGTCGACGCTAATCTCTCCTGCGTCTTTTTGGGTGACGGAGGTGATGGTGAGCGAGTGGCTGCCTCCACCCCGCTCCATCTTATACTTGGGCCCGGCAGTGACGGGTATGCTGTTGTGGAACCATTTGACGTTGGCGTCCGCCGGGTTGACGGCGCACTTGAAAATGGCGTCCTTTCCCTCCATCGCGGCCACGTTGTTGGGTTTTGTGGTTAGCCGCACTAGTCTGGGTGCTGCGAGCAAAGAACAACATCAAACGAAATGAATGAACGAACGTGATGAACAAATGAGTCATGAGTAAACGATGGATCACCTTTAGAAGAGACTTTGGCGGAGGTCCTGTCATTTCTACATTCGCAGCTGTACTCTCCTTCATCCTCTTTTGTCATGCCGGTCACAGTGAGGACCCGCTTAGCGCCGTCCGCCCTGACGCAGTACCGGCCCCCGTGTTTGACTTCACGACCGTCGCGCTGCCAGACAACGTCCCCCGAGGCGTGATCCAGTTCACACATCAGGGTGAGTGTGCCGTCCAACTCCACCGTGGCAGCTTTCAAAGGGACCACGAACTTCAGAGCTGAATCTGAAATGAAAAAACAGATGTTCGACACCAAGACAAAATCTAGCAGCAATTACAGGATTTTTTTTTTTACATTTCTATGACTTGCCTTTAACTTGAACTTTGAACTCCAGTTTGTCATCAGCGGTTTGACAGGAGTACGTTCCACTGTCTTTGGATTCGGATGATTTCACTATCAGGGTACGAGAAAGGCCCTCTTTTTTCATTTCGTACTTGCTCCCCTCCTTGAGCTCCACGCCATCTCTAAACCATTTCACGTTGCCGCACTCTTTGGTCAGCTCGGTGGTCAAAACTACCTTTTCAGTAGCTTGAACAGTACATGTGTCCTTAACGAGCTTCTTCTGGAACTTGACAGTTTCATCTAAAGGGAAGTGACGGCTTCTTTGTAAAATTATTTGTGCAGAGAATTGTCAATATTGTCACAAAAATGTCTGATTTTGAAATGCATATTACCTGCCATCTGAAGCTTAAATACCAGCTTTTCTGTTCCGGCCTCACACGTGTATTCTCCAACATCTTTTTTATCCATCTTTTCTATCACCAGCTCGCAACTCCTGCCTCTGGACTCCGTGTGGACTGCTTTGCTGGAAGTCAACAGCTTGCCGTCCTTGTACCATTTCACCTCAGTCTTGGAATCAGAAACCTCACAGCTCAGAGTGGCTTTCTGGGAGAGCGACGCTTTCACCTCAGTCCGGACGGACTCCTTGTTGGAGAAGCCAGCCGGGGATTCTTCAGTGCAAATAAAATAAAGCAAATGAAAAAACACATTTGCAGCCACGCAAAAGCACCAGAGACATCTTACTCCGCCTACCTGCCACCTGTATCTTGAATGTCAACTTCTCAGGCCCGGCCTCACACATGTACTCTCCGGCGTCCTTCTTCTCCACGCTGTCGATCACCAGCTGGCGACTCTTGCCTCTGGACTCCGCACGGATCGTCTTGCTGGTGGTCAGCAGCTTGCCGTCCTTGTACCACTTCACCTCCGTCTTGGTGTCGGCGACCTCACAGCTCAGGGTGGCTTTCTGCGACAGAGTGGCTTTCACCTCCTTCTGGACTGACTCCTTGTTGGAGAAGGCTGATTGGGCCTCTGATGGAGGAGGTAAGACGGAGAAAATATCAGATTCCAAAAACATTCCATTTAGTGCTGTTTAGTGCTAAAAATCCATCTTCCCGTACCTGCCACGTGTATCTTAAAAGCCATCTTCTCAGTCCCAGCCTCACAGACGTACTCTCCAGCATCCTTCTTCTCCACGCTGTCGATCACCAGCTGGCGACTCCTGCCTTTAGACTCGGTGCGGATCGTCTTACTGGTGGCCAGCAGCTTTCCGTCCTTCCACCATTTCACCTCCGTCTTGGCGTCGGCGACATCACAGCTCAGAGTGGCTTTCTGCGACAGAGTGGCTTTCACCTCCTTCTGGACTGACTCCTTGTTGGAGAAGGAGGACTTGGATTGGCTTTCTACAAAAATATGAAAATAATGTCAAGTAGTTGCCCCCCTTCGTCTCGATACAAGTCCTTAGAATATTGCGCAACGTCTGGGTCAATATCATACAGGCATAAATGTACCCCTCAAAATGTGATCATCATCCCCACGGCAGAAGAGATGAACTTAAGCACGAACAAATCTCACACAATAGTCCCTCTGATTTCTCATACCTGTCACCTGCACTTTAAATGCCAGTTTTTCTGTTCCGACCTCACAGGCGTATTCTCCTGCATCCTTCCTCTCCACGCTGTCGATCACCAGCTGACGGGTCTGGCCCTTTGATTCCATGTGAACTGCTCTGCTGCTACTCAGCAGTTTTCCATCCTTGGACCACTTCACCTCTGTTTTGTTATCGACTACCTCGCAGCTCAGGGTGGCCTTCTGGGAGAGAGTCGCTTTAACTTCCTTTTGGACCGAGTCTTTGCTGAGAAAAGCGGATTTAGCCTGGACCTCCGTCGAAGCACCTGTAGAGGAGCACAATATATCTCTTGACTGAAGCAACCGACAGTACAGCCAGAATCCATTGTGACTAAATGTCTATTTTATCTTTTTATTCAACAGTTCAAAAGTTCTCCTCACCTTCCACCTGTAATTTAAAGACCAGCTTCTCCGTCCCAACGTCACAGATGTACTCTCCAGCGTCCTTCTTCTCCACGCTCTCTAGCACCAGCTGGCGGCTTTTACCCCTCGACTCTGTATGTATCGTCTTGCTGGTGGCCAGCAGCTTGCCGTCCTTCCACCACTTCACCTCCGTCTTGGTGTCGGCGACCTCACAGCTCAGGGTGGCTTTCTGCGACAGAGTGGCTTTCACCTCCTTCTGGACTGACTCCTTGTTGGAGAAGGCTGATTGGGCCTCTGATGGAGGAGGTAAGACGGAGAAAATATCAGATTCCAAAAACATTCCATTTGGTGTTATTATTATTTTGAAAATCCATCTTCCCGTACCTGCCACGTGTATCTTAAAAGCCATCTTCTCAGTCCCAGCCTCACAGACATACTCTCCAGCGTCCTTCTTCTCCACGCTGTCTATAAACAGCTGGCGACTCCTGCCTTTAGACTCGGTGCGGATCGTCTTGCTGGTGGCCAGCAGCTTTCCGTCCTTCCACCATTTCACCTCCGTCTTGGCATCGGAAACATCACAGCTCAGAGTGGCTTTCTGCGACAGAGTGGCTTTCACCTCCTTCTGGACTGACTCCTTGTTGGAGAAGGCTGATTGGGCTTCTGATGGAGGAGGTAAGATGGAGAAAATATCAGATTCCAAAAACATTCCATTTATTAATTATTTTGAAAACCCATCTTCCCGTACCTGCCACGTGTATCTTAAAAGCCATCTTCTCAGTCCCAGCCTCACAGACGTACTCTCCAGCGTCCTTCTTCTCCACGCTGTCTATAAACAGCTGGCGACTCCTGCCTGTAGACTCGGTGCGGATCGTCTTGCTGGTGGCCAGCAGCTTTCCGTCCTTCCACCATTTCACCTCCGTCTTGGCATCGGAAACATCACAGCTCAGGGTGGCTTTCTGCGACAGAGTGGCTTTCACCTCCTTCTGGACTGACTCCTTGTTGGAGAAAGCTGATTGAATCTCTGAGGGTGACGTAAAAAGTAGTGTTGTTAAGAGCATCCTTTAGGATCCCACAACGATCCTCCTTATTTAAACAACATCAAGTCATCAAGGAAAAGTTGTCTCTTTAAAAAGTTGTCTCCCCTTCATGCAGGAGCTCACAAAAACTCTGTGATTGGATTTTTTAAATATGTATAAAATATGTGTAAAATTATATGAATCAATTCATCAATCGAGTATTGTTACCTGGAACAAATATCTTGAAGACCAGCTTATCCCCCCCGGCTTCGCACGTGTACTCCCCAGCGTCGCTCTTCTCCACCTTTTCAATCACCAGCTGACGGGTGTTGCCTTTCATCTCCGAGTAAATAGTCCGACTGGAGATCAACGACTTGCCGTCTTTGCACCATTTCACTTCTGTCTTGCTATCCGCAACGCTGCAACTGAGAGTGGCCTTCTGGGAGAGAGAAGCTTTCACCTCCTTCTGGACTGACTCCTTGTTGGAGAAGGCAGCTACGGCTTGAGTTTCTGGGAAAGAAAGCACATTTTATATGATAGTAACACCTGTGATTTGTATCGAATATAACAAAAGCACTGTACAGGCTTACCTTTTATTTTGACCTGGAATGTAACTTTGTCGGCCGCGGTCTCGCAGGAGTAATGTCCTTCGTCGGTTTTCTTGGCGTTCCGGATGATGAGTTTCCTTTGAGTCCCTTTGGAGACGAAGGTAGTTCTTTGGTCCTCAGTTATCTCCACTTGATCTTTCCGCCACGCGACGGCCGCGCTGGCGGGAGAAACCTCGCAGCTCAGCTCAAGGTCTCCTTTGAGGGACGATGACATTCCCACAGTTCCTCTGGCTTTGTTCAGAAATTTGGCCGGTTCGTCTTAGAGAAAAAGCGATTGAATTTGAGTCATGACTTCTTTACAAATTATTCGTTTAGTTATTAGAGTCGATTTCATAGAAATTATACATGTTTTAGAAAATTTGTGTACCGTGTAAAACCAATTATTTAAAGCACTTTGACCGTTTCTATCTTTGTGTTTGTTACCGGAGCAGCTCATGTGTGAACGAGCCGACTGCACGGTGACAGGTAACTCTTTCCTCTCTCTGACGGCTCCTGAGCAAATGCTCGCAGCCATCCGAGCGGATCACATTTCAGGCACATGAGACTAACTGTCTGCAGGCGGGTCGGAGGTACAGCCCAGCTCCCTTTACTTACACAAATTTACACCAGGAGGAGTTTATTGACGATACTTTCATTACAGATTGTGTCTGCAATAAAGTTAAACTACTTCTTGAGGGGCGTACCTTTAAGAGCGAGTCGCAGGGGCATTCTATCGTCAGCTAAAACACACTCGTAGGTGCCGACGTCTTCCTCGGTAACATTGTGCACCGTGAGGATCCTCTTGCGCTCGTTGATCAGACATTCATACTTCTTTCCCATTTTCACCTCCCGCTCATTTCTCATCCAAACCACCTGGAGAAACAGATCATTAACAAATATAATTTTAAAAGTGCTTGAGGATTATTCTCAAGTAGGACTACGGACATTTAAGTATAGTGCCTCCTTTAAAAACTAAGTAACATGAAATAAGATACGCGGCACATTGGACTGACTTAATCATTCTCCCTATTAATACCCCCTACCAACTTTGCCAATAAAAAAAGAGGGTCCTAGCAAAATAATATAACATACCCCTCTGAAATTACAACCGGACGTACAACTGCTGAAGTACAATTCTTCATCAGAAAGCAGATTTTCACTTAAGTGAAAGTTCACTTAAAATAGCACAGAAAAATAACCTACTCAATGACACAACAGCTAGCGATACTTTGCTATCCGTGCATATCTGTAGAGCAACAGGTACACGAATGTTCCCGTCACAAACCTGCGCGTCGTAATCCGACACCTCTGCGGTCAGCTGAGCAGTGGCTTGGGCGCTGCAGACCACCACCTCCGCCACATCCGACTTGTTGGTGAACCTCACAGGAGGAGCTAAAGAGAAGGGAAAGAAGGCTATATCATATTGCTGTGGCAAAGCATGACGCTAAATACTAACGGCATTCAACCAAAACCAATACAAAGGTTTTAATACAGAAAAGCGAATGTACTTCGATTTCTGCACATGTTTTATCGTTACTCTTCTGTGGATGTTAACCGCTGCAGTGTGCGTGCTCACCCTTCACAGTGAGGATGCAGCTGCTCTGCGAGCCTCCGCCCACAAACTTCACCTCGGCTCCGTTCATTTCCATGGCCACGACACGGATGAGCAGCGTGTGCGTGTTCTTGGACCTGGTGATCAGGTAGTCCGCTCCGCTGCGCAGCAGGCGGCCCCCCAGAGACCAGAAGCAGGAGCAAACGGCGGACAGCTCCACCGAGATGGAGAACTCCTCGCCGCAGTGTGCGACGCTGCTCGTCAGGCCTTTCTTGATTTCAGCACTGGGCTCTGGACACAACGAGCAAACCGGGTTTGAGTAGGAGAGAGAAATGCACACAACAACGGCACATAACCACAAACGCCACGGAGGCGTGGGTCTCACCGAGGTAGAAGGTTCCAGGCACGTCCAGGTGAGGACTTTGGCCAAAGTCATTCATGGCGGAGATGCGGAACTGGTAGGTGGCTTCTTCCGTGAAGCTGCAGACGGTGACCTCTGTTGAAACAATGGTCTCGCCGGCATTGCACCTCTGCCATGTCTGAGTGCCGATCTTCCTCTTCTCCACAATGTAGCCCTTGATGGGTACAGGGCGCTCGCTGTCGGGAGGAGACCACCGGATGGTGACGGACGAGTCGGTCTTGTTCTGCACCACTGCATCGACTGGGGGATCGGGAGGATGCTTCCTTGCAGCTGCGCGAAAGAGCAGAAGGTTCGATAAATATTAAATGTCTTGTCCAGGGACTCTGCTCAACAGAGTTCCCTGAGCATCACAGAGTTGGTCAATCAGATCAGGTTTTAAATCAGGTCAGGGACCAAAGCACACTTCTTTGGGGGGTGAAAACAGAGATAATCGCTTTATTTATTGAAGTGTTTTGTTACTGACACATCAATTACCAAATTTGAAGCCATCCTGAAAAGATGCAATGAATCTGAAATCATCCTCACCGGTGACGGAGAATCGAGTGGAGGTCTTGCAGTCTCCAGCCACAAAGGCCACTTCTCCCGAGTCATCGGCCTGGCAATCCCTAATCGTGAGCGTGTATTGTCTGAGCACGCACGCAATGGAAACACGGGAATCCTCCTGCAGTTTGTCTCCGTCGCGAGTCCAGTGAGCATCTGGGAAGGGCTGCTCCAGCTCCACGCAGAAGATGACGGTGTCACTGACGGGTACCACCGTCCTGCGGGGAAGTTTCTTAGTTATGTTCCCTGGGATCAGAGAGGAAGTAGACGTTACGTGAAGAAACGTGGTATAAATTGCTCCTGATAATACCATTGTAATAACATCCATGACAAAATAAAGAAAGAACAGTTTGAACCACACCCAGGACGGTGAGCTCAGCCACGGTGCGACTGCCCTCCTTCATCTCGCAGATGTAAACTCCGTCATCGTTGGTGGTGACATTGTGTATGGTGAGACGCCGAAGGGTGCCTTCCTGCTCCATGTAATATTTGGTGCTTTGCTGCAGCCGCGTCTCCTCCATGAACCAGTTGGACATGGTCGCACTAACAGGAACCTCACACATCAGCGTGGCGGACGCCTTCTCCTGAACCTCTACATCCTGAAGCTTCCTCCTGAATGGCACTTTAGGCTCTGAAGGGGAAAAAAAAAGGATCTTCAGGTTATGCAGTTTAGCACATGTGTGGAAAATGCAGTAGTTTACAATACATGTCACTTTAATTGTAATTTTTCACTTTTTCGTCACTCGTCACTTACTTGTTCGATAGTGCACTTTATGCTTAATATTTTTTTACTTTTTTTATATTTTAAATTTTGAACTCTAACTTTATTCTCTTGTTTTATACTAACCCATAGCCTTACTAACCCATTGCATTAGCATTTCATTTTACCTTATTTTATTACTTGTGCACTGCTGTCTTGTTGTCTATTGTCACGCACCAACCGCCAAGACAAATTCCTTGTAATGACATATTTTGGCAATAAATGTTTCCTGATTCCTGATTTCACCTTAATCTTTAGTTCAGGGTAGAAGCGTTTTAGAAGAGATTAGATTACATTTTGTTGAAAACCAAAAAATTGACTCAATAGTCAGCAAACATGCTTAATAATATAGAAGAAAAAGAAAAAGCTTGAAGTAGTCAACTGAGGTCAACTTCAACTTGGTTGTTGAAGCCGAGGTTTGGCATTTAAACGGATGTCTGGTGTGTTTCATTAAACGCTCCTATGACCATTTTAAAAGTGATTTGCTTAATAAAATAATGTCACTGATATTTGCGTATATTTAAGGGACTGATGGTTTCAATGTTGTTCAGAGCCTGGTGTTGCAGAGTACACCTTGTTCATCTCTCCGTCTTCAAAGTTGTCTCTGCACCACAAATGAGGGATATAGTTTCAAACTGCAATATTTACATTTAAATATATCCTCCAAGCTTCTTTACAAAGAACAAAAGCCAACATTTCCCCCCCATTTCCCATTGTTATAATACCGGTATATTAGTAAGTAAGTAATAATTCCCCCTAGTTCTATTTGTTGTTTTTCCTTTTATTTTTGGTTTCTATGCCGTACCAAGTGTATGGAATCTAAAATTGAAAACAAGATTCATGCAGCAACTTGGATTTCACAACGTTTATATTTTCCATCGCAAAACACACCCTTTGACTTTTGCAAACGGACAACTTGCAAACGGAGCAGCGGAAGCGTCCGGTTTCAGAAGCACGGTGGCCCTCGTTATCGGACACACCTACAGATATCTACAACCCAGCAGCTTCGTCCCGCCGGCCAATTTCTGGTGGGAGTCCCACACGCAGTGGTGCCAAAGTGCCTCGGGGAGTGAGTGACCATCTTAGCATCTGCGAACTACTCATCGCCTGCAGAAAATAGGTGCAACTCAACACCCGTTGAACCAGAATTCCACCTTGTTGTTAAATACCACGAGCATTTTGGGAGCTTTAAAGAAGGCTTCGGTGTGCTGGTTTCAACACGTACAGTAGCGGGAAAAAAATAGATGACCCTACTAACAGCTCACTTTCCTTAAGACGTGACCATCTCACCTTTGACTGTGACCAACACGGCGCTGTAGGTCTGGCCGGCCATGTTGGTCGCGTTGCAGGTGTAGAGACCGTTGTCGGTCTGCTTGCAATAGAGGATCTTGAGGATGAAGTTCTCAGCGTGGTCCTCGTAAATGACCTGCCTGCGGCCCTCGCGGATGTTTGCTCCATCCTTCCTCCAGGTGATGTGGGGCTTCGGGTGACCGGTCACAAAGCAGCTGAGCTTGGCGTGCTTGCCTTCGGTCACCGTGCAGGTGCGGGTGAACACGCCCTTGGGCAGCTTTGCCAGCGCGGACGCCCTCAGCTCGTTATCCAGACTCGGAGAACTGTCGGCGACGTTGGCATTAGAGGAGGAGGAGGAGGAGGAGACGGAGGACCGGCTTTCCCCGGTGCGATACAGAGAGATGTCCTTGTTCATTTCCTCCTTGCGCTTTTGCAGGTGAGAAAGGAGGGAGGTGTTCTTGTCTGCGGCCAGGTGGCGGGAGTCTTGGGCGTCCACGACTAAGGCCGCCGCACAGTGCGACCGGCCGACGGTGTTCTGGGCCCTGCAGGTGTAGGTTCCGCCATCGAGGTTGCGCACGCTCTGGATCTTCAAAATGCTGCCGTCACTGTCAGAAACAATCTTGATGCGGTTGCTCTCCCCCAAGTAGCGCCCGTCTTTCTCCCAGTCGAAGTTGGCCTCGGGGTGAGCCACAACTCGGCAGTGGAAGACGACGTCGTCTCCCAAGGCCACGCGCGCCGGGGCGGGCTTAACCGTGAAGGCCGGGGCCCTCGGAGCCATCTCTCCCGGCAGGGCCACTTTGAGGGTCACGGCGGCGTAGGCTTCCCCGACGCTGTTTCTGGCGCGGCACATGAACTGGCCGCTGTCCTCCAGAGTCAAGTCGTAGACGGTGAGGCGGTACACGTCTCCATCCTCCACGGTTTTGAAGCGTCCCCCGGAGGTCAGCTTCAGCTTCTCCTTTTCCCAGGTGACCAGCGGCGTCGGGCTGCCCACGATGGTGCAGCTCAGCGTGGCGTCCTTGCCGGCGCACACCGAGAACGCCTTCGGGCGGGTGAGGAACCTGGGGACTCCTCCGAACAAGTTTTTATCCATTGTTGGTTCCTGCAAAAAAAAAAAGAGAAAAGCTGTATGTTGCTGAACTGTAACAGATTGGCTTAAACATTTCTACTCCTTTCTGGCAACGCATTCGATCACAAAGAAACAAACCCAAACCATTGTGAGACGGGACAGTTTGTTAAGGGCACTCAATGGAATATGTTATGAAAATAGACATCAACCCACAGTGGCAGGCATTTACACCAACTGTCCGCCAACACCCCCCACCCCCATCACCCCCCCATCCCCTTATGGCCCTGCAGACATTCACCAATACGAGACTGGACTCTGTCCCACGCCGTCTATTTAATAGAAAAAGCAGTTCGATGGATTCCCTTGTAACAAGGTCAAATGGAGCAGATATGTTCCTCTCAAAGGGGGGACATTTGCCAGCTTGGTCACCTCTGTCCCCTCGAACCGCCTCTCCCCAAAATAACCTCAGCTGTCAGACCCCGTCTCTGCGCATTGCCATTTGTAGAAGCGATATCAGCTGTTTGATAAAGCTTCCACTTTAGAAAACGCACTTCGCGTAATCTGCGTCCGTGACGTCACCCCTGCTACAAAAAGACGCCTTTAAAAATATAAAATAAAAAACGCCGGAATTTACTTTGTGTAACTTGCGTTTCGTAAACCGGCGAAGAATGGAGCGCGTTTGCTCTAATTAATTTTTATTTAGAACTGTAGAGTCAGCCTGAAAACTGGAAGTTGAATCCGTCTCAGCGGGAACGTCACGGTGGAAAAGTACATACGTCAGATACCACAACGTCACGTTAACACTCGACTTAAGTCTAAATAAATGAAGGAAGAAAATATGGAAAAACGGTCAAATTCCGGCATTAATTCCGAATGTAAATGTCGTGTTACTTTGCGTCGAAGGACTCGTTCACCTTGAGTCTTCAGCCACTCATCAGATGTGGGCCGAAAGCTCCAACTCCAACCTCACGATTTACGAGTCCAAAAAAGGTCTTCTTTGCGCTCAAATGTCCTCGTGTGGCGCCTGTAAAATCCGGGATGGTGAAACACCCCCTGCCGGTCTCCTGCGACGGGACTTATTTGTTCTTTCTTCTCTGGTACCTCATGATGCCAAATAGCTCACGCGCAGCCTCCTTTCTCAAATAGACTCGTCCCACAGTTAGGAGGTAGGAGATAGGAGACAGGCCGCTGGTCCGCGCACTAAGGTTTTAAAAACAACTCATGACGCTGAATAAAACCAGTGGATTCTGTCAGCTACATTTATTCAAGTACTGCACTACTTTGAAGTAGTTTAATTAAAGGCTTTTTTATACTTGTATTCCACTGCCCAATGGCTGGACTTACTTTGCAAATGTGTGTACATTTTGTGTACAGCAAAACTGTACACACACTATTTAAACTATTTAAACTATTTCCCTGTGCTGTAATGGTGAAAAGAAACTAAGATTTTTTTTTTGTCTTGTACATAAGTACTTGAATATTTTTTATTTATTTAGTTAGTTTAGTATTTAGTTTATTTATTTATTCCTACCACCTGTGTGTATGAATGTGTGTAGTGTGCATGTGTGATTGAGGCAGTTTGAGCTCATGCCACATTGTAATCCTCAGCCGCCATGTCGACAGCTGCTTTACCGGCTGGTCAGGCCCATAATGAAGTTATGACTTCATAGTGTGCAAAAGCCTTTAACACAAACATTACATCTTTGCAATGGTTAAACTATTTTTTACCATGGTAGCAATCAAGCTACCAATCAAGCAAGTTAGCAGGGTATTTCATTTTTCTTACGCCTAACTTCATCACATATCATTTATATTTAATGGTATGCTATAAAACAATGGGTAACAAGTCTTACCCCTCTCTTCCCTATTCTTTGGCCTCCACGGTATTTTATTTAGGTCTTCCAGAGTGGGCGTTCCCCCAATGACTGACAGCAGCAGGTCGACTGGACCCTGATTTAAACCTGCAGAAACTCGAGCAGACAGTAATCCACCGTTGCTGCTTGCTTCTACAAACCTCAGCACCCCAGGGGACAGGCGGCCAGGGCGGCCAGGGCCGTGATGTGAGGACCTCACCATAGCAAATTATTTGAAATGGAGGAAGGGGGAATATACTAAATAGTGTGTTTCAAAATAGAGGTATATAGTGTTTATTAACAAATTATATAGAATTAACAGTATTGACAGAGGATAACAACAGGGCACAGAGAAGCATATGCAGACAAATACAAAACAAAAGTCAGCAACTATTCAAACCCACAAAGTGAAGTCATACAAAAGTATGTCACTAATGTCGGAAAGAATACTTTCCACCATTCAACGTTGGATTAGACTACAGGATTTAAGTTGAGCCAGGGTGGTTTGACCTGCTGTGCACAGGAGGATGTTAACGGAGAAAAAACGGACGGAAGTAGACTATCGACACAATTAAACATGGACACATTAAATTCACGTGTGTGAAATATGATATCCAACATCCTTTCTCTCTTAGTTACATCATTATTTCGGTGGTAAATGATTTAGTATCTTCTCTGATGCAACCGCTAGGAGTCGCCAGAGTCATTTTTGAAATCCCACACATCTTTTGTGTTTATTTAGTCAAGTGCAAGGAAAACAAAAGAAGTGATCATCATAGGGAACCAGTGGGTTAATGGTTGGTGAAAAAAATATTCAAAAATAAGTATTTTTAGAATATTCAAAAGAATGATTGATTATGAATGGTTGATGAAAAAAGATGTTCAAAAAATGTTCCAAAAAAGAATCAAAAGAATATTCAAAGAAATATTCAAAAGATTGATTGATTTCTAAGATTATAATATGTAATAAGGGTGAAGAAAACCTGTGTTTGGCCCATATCTTGCTTTCTACAAATTTGACAGAAAAACAAAAGGAGTGATCCTCATAGGAAACCAGTGGGTTAATGGTTGGTGAAAAAAAAATGTTCAGAAAAATATTTAAAAAAAATTCAAAACATTTTCAAGAACTATTCAAGAAATAATCGAGAAATATTCAAGAAATATTCAAGGATTGATTTCTAAGAATATGATATGTAATTAAGGGGAAGAAAACCTGTGTTTGGCCCATATCTTGCTTTCTACAAATTTCCAGAAAAAATAAATATTAGAGAATTATTCAAGAGAATGATTGATTTCTAAGAATATGATATGCAATAAGGGGGAAGAAAACCTGTGTTTGGACCATATCTTGCTTTCTACAAATTTGTCAGAAAAACAAAAGGAATGATCCTCATAGGAAACCAGTGGGTTAATGGTTGGTGAAAAAAAAAGGTTCGAAAAAATATTCAAGAAATATTAGAGAAATAATCAAGAAATATTCAAGGATTGATTTCTAAGATTATGATATGCAATAAGGGGGAAGAAAACCTGTGTTTGGACCATATCTAGCCTTCTACAAATTTGCCAGAAAAACGAAAGGAGTGATCCTCATAGGAAACAAGTGGGTTAATGGTTGGTGAAAAAAAAACGTTCAAAAAAATATTCAAAAAATATTCAAGATATATTCAAGAAATATTCGAGAAATATTCAAGAAATATCAAGGATTGATTTCTAAGATTATTATATGTAATTAAGGAGAAGAAAACCTGTATTTGGCCCATATATTGCTTTCTACAAATTTGCCAGAAAAACGAAAGGAGTGATCCTCATAGGAAACCAGTGGGTTAATGGTTGGTGAAAAAAAAGGTTCGAAACAATATTCAAGAAATATTCAAGAAATATTCAAGAAATATTCAAGAAATATTCAAGACATATTCAAAAAATATTCAAGAAATATTCAAAAAATATTCGAGAAATAATCGAGAAATATTCAAGAAATATTTAAGGATTGATTGCTAAGATTATGATATGTAATTAGGGGGAAGAAAACCTGTGTTTGGCCCATATCTTGCTTTCTACAAAATTGCCAGAAAAACAAAAGGAGTGATCCTCATAGGAAAACAGTGGCTTAATGGTCGGTGAAAAGAAACGTTCGAAAAAATATTCAAGAAATATTCAAAAAATATTCAAGAAATATTCAAGAAATATTCAAGAAATATTCAAGAAATCTTCAAAAAATATTCAAAAAATATTCAAAAAATATTCAAGAGAATGATTGATTTCTAAGATTATGATATGTAATTAGGGGGAAGAAAACCTGTGTTTGGCCCATATCTTGCTTTTTAAAAAATTGCCAGAAAAACGAAAGGAGTGATCCTCATAGGAAACCAGTGGGTTAATGGTTGGTTGAAAACAAAAGGTTCGAAAAATATTCAAGAAAATATTATCTATTTTTCTTTAAGTTATAAAATAATCACAGAAATATTCAAGATTGATTTTCTAAGATTATGATATGCAATAAGGGGGAAGAAAACCTGTGTTTGGACCATATCTAGCCTTCTACAAATTTGCCAGAAAAACGAAAGGAGTGATCCTCATAGGAAACAAGTGGGTTAATGGTTGGTGAAAAAAAAAACGTTCAAAAAAATATTCAAAAAATATTCAAGATATATTCAAGAAATATTCGAGAAATATTCAAGAAATATTCAAGGATTGATTTCTAAGATTATTATATGTAATTAAGGAGAAGAAAACCTGTATTTGGCCCATATATTGCTTTCTACAAATTTGCAGAAAAACGAAAGGAGTGATCCTCATAGGAAACCAGTGGGTTAATGGTTGGTGAAAAAAAAGGTTCGAAACAATATTCAAGAAATATTCAAGAAATATTCAAGAAATATTCAAAATATATTCAAGAAATATTCAAAAATATTCGAGAAATAATCGAGAAATATTCAAGAAATATTTAAGGATTGATTGCTAAGATTATGATATGTAATTAGGGG